CCGTGTGCAAGGCAAACGCCCTACCTGCTGTGCTATCGCTCCAGCCCGTGTTCACTTTATTTTTAAATTAATTTTTTTTTCTGGGGCTGGAGCGATAGTACCGTGGGTAGGGCGTTTGCCTTGCACGCGACTGACCTGGGTTCGATCTCCAGCATCCCATATGGTCTCTGGAGCACCATATTAGTAATTCCTCAGTGCAGAGCCAAGGAGTAACCCCTATGTATTGCTGGGTGTGACCCAAAAAGAAAAAAAATTTTTTTCTAAGGGAAAGGAAGGGAAAAGAAAGCAGGGGAAGCCCCCAGATTTGGGGAAGAGTCTCCTTAAGAAAGGTTCCCATTCATTTTGTTTTTAACGAGGATTGATACCTTTTATCAAACTGCAGCCTGCCTGAGCTGAGTGTTATTAGCTGTATTTAAGTTAACCTAGTGAGTTTTCTCTTACCATTGGTAAATAAAGGAATCATATTTCCAGTTTTAGAGGGGTATTTATTTTCAAATTATATCTGGAATTCAAGTGACCGGATGAATCAAATAGCCTCTCTTTCCTTAATCGGCAGTGAAATTTGACCTAAGCACTCTTTATTTGGCAAGCTTTATATTTCACATGGAGGCAAATATTCACTTGCAGCTGCGTGCCAGGGATTAGACGCTGCTATTATATGTATATAGCTGGGATCAAGGCAGAAAAATACACTTGGCTGAGACTTTGTTTTGTTGTGCTATACCCTGTGGAATTTTCCCAGAGCAGAGCTTGGGGGTGGCTCCTGGCAGTGCCTGGGGGATCATGGAGTGCTGAGGATTGAACTCAGGCCTCCCACATGCAAAGCATAAGCATTAGCTCTTTGAGTTAGCTCCCCGCCCCCTCCAATGAGAGTTTCTTAAACTCTAGTCTGTAAGGGAAAAGGGCTCACAAGTAGCAGGAAAGTTACCAGAGCTGTTAGAGCTAGAGGAAGGAGGTTTCAGCTTTTTTTTTTTTTCTTTTCTTTTTAAAAGGTAAAGGTAAAGGCCCTCCCGTTGATCATCGATTTGCTCAAGCGGGCCCAGTAACGTCTCCATTGGAGACTTTGTCTTTTTTAAAATTTTTTTTTGGGTCACACTCAGTTTTTTCTTTTGGGGGCACACTCAGTGATGCTCAGGGGTTACTCCTGGCTCTGCACTCAGGAATTACTTCTTGCGGTGTTTGGGGAACCATATGGGATGCTGGGAATTTAACCTGGGCTGAGCGTGTACAAGGCAAATGCCCTACCCACTGTACTAACAGTCTGGCCCCTGGTGACCTTCTCTAAATAATAAATTCTATTTTGCACTCCACTGCAAAGTCAAGTAGGAGGCTCCCACTGAATATGTGGTATATTGAAAGTGATAAGATTTCATGAATAAAGATGGCACTTGTTTAAGTACTAGTGAATGGCAACTGTTTATTATACTGATGCTGATGGGGGTCCTTGGGTGACTTATATGCAGTGGAGATATGAGAGACTGCAGCCTTGATTAGGAAATCTGCCACCTTCTCTCTAGCCACCTCCTCCACACAGGGGACGCCTGGGGAAATCAAAGACTGAGTCTGCTATGAGACGTGCTCTTTGCAGGAAAGGAGTCAGTCCTTGACCTTTCCCAGGCTGTCCAGGGTCCTTGCCTCCTTTTCATCACAAAAAATTTTAGGAGATGATGAGTAGTGGAGTAAAACAAGTTATATTTAGAATTTTAGAGAAAAGTGGGGAGAGAAAAGGAGAAAGACACAGAGAGAGAGAGAGAGAGAGAGAGAGAGAGAGAGAGAGAGAGAGAACAGACAGAGAGAGATATATAATCTGCTCAAGAGAGAATGTGGGTTTTTCCAGAGAAGAGAGCCCCTGTCAGTGTTAGGGTATGATAGGACACAACTCAAGAAGGGAGATTTTGGCGAAACATCTGCTTGGGCACCAAAAGCACTGGGCAGCAACGTGCATAGACATCATATGTGCGCGACTCCTTTGTTCCAAGTTGGCTTTTATAGGGGTTCTACCTGGGTAAGAGTCTGTTGTTAGGGTGGTTGCCAAGGGGCAGTGTTGGGAGTCTGTGCCAAGGTCTTATCAGGGCTTAGTTCCTGTGTCCACAAGGTGGGTCCTGGCAGCCTTAGGGCCTGTTGGTTTATTACTTCCCAAAATCTCATTGCTGTGGGCATGAGGGCCCTTCCCTATCTTGCCTACCTGATTCAATACTAGAGATACTATATTTTGGGCAAGAAATCTATGTAATATTTGAAATGATCAGGGATATGAATGCCTAGAGCACTGAATTGGAGTAGTCTCTTAGGATCACTGAAACAAAATAAAACCCAAAAATGCCCTTACAAAGAGTATGAGAACAGAGTCAAGAGTAAACACTGAACATAGCCAGGTATGGTTCAAAAAACCTTTGTAGAGGGTCAGGTATGGACCCCTGGACATTGAATTTCAAGTCTTAAAATTTGATCTGAAAAGAATTTTCTGCCCCAGCATCAAACTGAGGAAAACAGCTCAAACCCTCAAACCAGAAGCCATCCTTCAAGAGATCCTTCCCCAGGACAAAAGGCCAAGTAAGACCGAGTGAAGGGCCAGAGATGGCTCAACAGCTACCATGCTGGGCATGCCAGAAGCCTGGGTTCATCCTCATTTCTAACACCACTTGATCTGCTGAGCACAGAGCAGAAAGCAACCCTCAGGCACTGATTGGTGTGGTTCTCAAACCAAATCAAACCAAATAAAAAAGTCCTCCCTCCCAAAAATGAAAAAAAAAATTGAATCAAGACCTCTGATCTTCCTGGCTAACATTTTAGTGATGAATCCTTAGCTGCGTTGAAAGCCACAAGGCAGAACAACTTGGAGACAGCCCATTAAATCAGCTTCACCAAAGTAACACCCCCATCCTGCCTGCTTCGTGTTGGAGTCGCTCACACACGCCAACTTGAGCAACATAATTCCTTTCTTTAACTTGGCACATTCCATTCTGAGGTCCCCTGCATACCAATGTGTGTATGCAATTCTCTGTACTGTACTGGTTCCATTTTGGAGTGGCCCACACATCTCAGCTCATAGTCCGTGATATTTTTCCTTTTCTGGGCTCACCAGCAACAATACAATGAGTCAAGGAGACTGGTAGAACTGTCTATTGTGGTAATTGAATGAAGGGCCAGAGATACTTCAACAGGCTACCACGCTGGGGATGGCTGTTGCTCTGTGGCTCCCCAGACACCCATAGGTAACACCCCAGTTCATCTAGGTTCTTCCTGATTGGTCAATCAAATTACTAACAGATTAGCCCGAGAGAAGAATATACCTAAATCTATCTATCGATCTATCATCGATCTATATCTATCTATCTATCTATCTATCTATCTATCTATCATCTATCTATAATGTACATCCTGAGCCAAGGAAGGACCTGGGGTGTCAAGTAGAGAGGAGGGAGATACATGTGAAGAGGAAGAGGGTCAACTCATGACAAAGAGCAGATGAACTTAGATGTTTGTCCTACCATATAGATTTTTGTACTTTTCTAGTGAAACTTACTTCTGAGTAATATACCTAGTTTGAGGCGGGTGGTTGGTGCAGGAAAGGAAGGTAGAAGCATGCAAAGGGAGAGAGTGCTACTACGTTCCTGCTTTAGTTACCTCCATCACCCAAAGTACTGCCTCGGAGGGTCAGTATAGATAAAGTTAGACTGTGGTAAAATTAGTTTCCTTACACTTATTTTGCTTAAAGTTGTTTCCCAAAACCTCAAATTAATTTTTCTAGACTCATTATTTTCCTCCCGTCCACACATGTATGTATAGCATATGTGTACAAGAGTCCCTATTCTTACAGAGTTATCTTTTATTTTCAAAGTCTCTTATACCTGGAAATTTTTTTGGTTTTTGGGCGATGATCAGGGGTTACTCTTGGCTCTGCACTCAGGATTTACTCCTGGCGGTGCTTGGAGACTTTGTGAGATAGAGGGCCATTGAACACAGGCTGCCAACTGTGTTCAACCTACCAGCTGAACTATCTCTCTAGACCCTGAAAATTTCTATTGGTTGAATTGGTCTTTCTTGGCAAATACACTTCCTTCAAGACAAACAGTTGCTTTTTTTAATACCCTTCCCCCAACACCTAGTACTATAGCTCTTCAGGCATACTCATGTGGGTGTTGAGTTTTTCCCCCTAGCCAGAGAGAAGTGGATAGTGATGTTGCTACTCAGTTTCTGCATTCCAAGTGTGTGCGCCAATGCCAGACATACAGCAGGTGCTCAATAAATGTTAACTGTCAATACGATATCATATGAATACTTTGTAGCAGCATTTATATGATCTCATTTCATCCCTACTGCAACCTATAAAGCAGCAATTTTTATCACTCTGTTGCTTCCTATTTGTAGTGCAGAGTGGAGATTGCCTAACGCCAATCAACAGCCAAACGAAACAAGGAACCCATCTTCGGACTCCAAGCTCGTGACACTATTTAACAGATTGAAGCCAGAGCCAACAACAATCATGGTTTCAAGCTTCCGCTGCACTTCCGGAAGCTGGGGCAAAGATGAGCGCCGGGATCAAGGGATGTAGGACTACATCTCCCAGAGAGCCCTGCGGCAAGACCTTAGGTGATTGGTTGAGCTCGGTCCACCGGTCCCGGCGCGCCGAGCTCCTCCGGACCAATAACGGGTGCGAGGAGGCGGGGCCTCGCACTCAGAGGCGCGACTGAAACTGACAACATAGTTCTAACTCCACCCCCCCCCCCCCCTCTTACCCCGCGGAGCTGAAACCCGACGCCGGGCCGCTACCTCATCCTCCTCTGCTGGTCCACGCCGGTGTCCTGGGGGGCCGGCTCCTGGGTGCACGTGTCTGGTCACCAGACTCGTGCTGAGAACCTGGAGGAAAGCCTGCACGCGTTGGAGCCACTGTAGCGGCCCAGCGTTCCGGAGTCGCTGAACTCAGGCCCCGCGGGCTGGAAGGCCCCGGGGCGGCGGGCGGGCGGGCGGGCTGGCTGGCGGGCTTGGTGGGGTGGGCAATCTTCCGAGCCTCCGGTGACTCGGACCTTCTGTGGCAACCTCGCCGGGAGCTGGCCGGCCTCGCTCTGGGCTGCTGGCCGCGCCCCTGCCTGGACCGGGAGTCTCGTGGATTGTCACCGGCGCCCCGACTGCACACGCCCTCCAGTAAGGCTGCGACACTGTCCGCACGCTTCGGCCTCTCGAACTACGAGGTGAGACCTGGAGATGCCCAGCCAGTTCTCCCCGCGGCGGCCGGCACCTTTGTACTTGCCAGGTGCTCTGTGGTCCCACTTTTCTGCTCCGTTGCTTCGCCCTCCTACACTTCCTCCTTACCAGGCGAACAAATCTGTCCAAATGCTCAAAACAAGCCCCCTCATCCCACCCCATCCCCCCAAACTCCCCTTTCCCCCCAAATGCAAAACAGCTTTGCAGTTAGACTGGGAATATCTTCACCAAAACTTTGGAAGTTTTGCTCGACTTAACGCCATTTAGTGTGTACCGAGCGAGTTTTTGTCTCTGCAAACTCCTATGTGCGTAGAATCATCGCTAGCTTTAAAATCCCCTCCGGACTAATTATGACAAGTGGTTCTGATACTGGCTCAGGGATCAGAAAACAAAAACAAAAGCAAAAACTCCCCCCAAATCAAAAACCCAGCTCAGGAGCTTAGCACAAGCCAGCTCTATTTATTTTAGTTTTTGGGCTCCTCCCAGCGATGCTTAGAGATTACTCCTGGCTCTGCACTCACTACTCCTCGGGAATTACCCCTGGCGGTGCTTGGAGGACCTTATGGGATGGCCCAAGGATGGAACCCTGGGCCGCGTGCCAGGCAAGTGCCCTAGCCGCTGTACTATCTGTCCAGCTCCAAAGTCAGCTCTGTTGTCCGCCGCGTGCCAGGCAAGCGCCCTAGCCAATGTACTATCCATTGTCTAGCTCCAAAGTCGGCTGTTTTTTTTTTTTTTCCTTTTTGCGATGCTCAGGGGTTACTCCTGGGTTTGCACTCAGGAGTTACTCCTGGCGGTGCTTAGGGGACTATATGGGATGCAGGGGATCGAACCCCGGTCTGCTGGGTACAAGGCAAACACCCTACCCACTGTACTATTTCTCCGGGCCCCCAAAGTCAGCTCTTAATGAATAAACTTTTCTTTTCTAAGGCCGTTTCAGGGGCTTTTCACTCTCCCCATTCTGCTCCTGCCCATGCTGATGGACTCTCCTAAGGGTGCTCAGCAGGACCTTGAGGTCCCCACATGAAAAGCTTGCATACTTGCCGTTTGAACTACCTCCCCGCCAGGGGAGTAGCTATTTTATGATGGAATGAGGATCTTTAGCTCTGGAAGGTGGTTGCATGCTAACTTAATTGAGAAGCCCGAGATAATACAGTGGGTAGGGTGGTTGCCTTTCACGCGCCCAACCTTGGCTGGATCTCCAGCACCATACATGGTCACTCAAGCACCACCACAAGTGACCCTTGAGCACAGATTTGAGCACCACAGGGAGTGGCCCAAACATTGAAAAAAAATGGAGAAGGAAGTTCATGGTAAGTGAGCTAGTAACCCTCTTCAGTCTAGAACTTGTTCATGTAGTTAGTTGGAACTGTCACTGAGAAATATTTTATCCCTGCAGTTATAAGATCCAACCTGTCCTTCCCTTGGGGATATCATAGTTGTTTATCTCTTACTTGATACTTCTTGTCCCCGCCTTTTTATTAGTTAATTTTGAATTCTTTGGGATTTGTTTTGTTTTGGGGCCATACCTGGTGATTCTCAGGCACTACTCCTAGCTCTGTCCTTCCGTTGTTTATCGATTTGCTCGAGCGGGCCCAGTAATGTCTCCATTTTGAGACTTGTTGTTACTGTGTGTGGCATATTGAATAAGTCACAGGGAGCTTGCCAGACTTTGCCGCGTGGGCAAGATACTCTCCTTAGCTTGCTGGGCTCTCCAAGAGGGGTGGAGGAATCGAACCCAGCTTTCTCGGCTGAGCTGGCTGCGTGCAAGGCAAATGCCCAACCTCCTAGGAATTACTCCTGTTGGTGCTTGGGGACCCATATGGGATGCTGGGGATTGAACCCGGGTCAGCCACATGCAAGGCAAGCACTAAGCAAGCACCATACATGCTGTACTATTGCTCAGGCTGGTTGGGCCTTCTTGCCAGCAGCTCTAGATCTGCAGTGCACTTGAAAATTGTCTCCTATTCCCGCTGAGCCTAAGTACTCTAGTCCACACACTTCCAACCCTAGGTTATCATGTGTTCTTATTCCTTCCAATGTGCCATATTCCCAACAGGTATTAAGTCCAGGAGATTCTTTACCTCCTTGTATTCTCTGCACCATTCTAATAAATAACTTCCAAGGCTATAGCAATATTACTCAGAAAGGTAATGGTGCTTTTGAGCGAATCTGTGACTTTTCCATCTGAATCATGTTGTTGCTTTGCTTGACCAACTTTGTGTAGTTGGTCAGTTCTTTTGCTCATTGAGTTTATCAGCAAATTCTCCAACAGAGGCACCATATATTTTAACCACAATGATAAGCAATTCCAGTAATTTTATATATACACCTGAGCATGTGTCTGTAGTGTCACACAGGGTTCTCTGGATAGGAAATATAGGACAAGCATAGTCTTGAGCACATAGAATCCTTTTATACCAGCTTTCAGGGTAAAGGAACGGAAAGAACTCCTCAGAATTGATTAATGCAAACCTCACTTTCCCTACATTTTCTGGAAGAGGCAATACTGGGGCAAGACTTAGCTTCCCTGTGTGCAAGATCCTTATTGCCTGCAATACCCTGACTGAGAAATTCAGTTTCTTTAGAGCAGTGGCCACAGGGACAGCTTGGTCACAAGGGTCCAGGCACCAGTTTTAGCATCCTAGTTAAAACATTGAGTTTTAAGGACCTTAGTTGCAGAGGAGTTTTGTGTCCAATCCCTTGTGTGTGCTTTTTGGGCCGCACCAGTGATGCTCAGAACTTACTCCTGGCTCTGTGCTCAGGGATCACTTCTGTCAGTGATCGGGGACCCTGTAGGGTGCTGGGGACCAAATCTGGTCAGCTGTGTGCAGGATAAGTGCCCTGCCATGGTGCACTATCTCTCTGGCTCTGTGTGTGTGTGTGTGTGTGTGTGTGTGTGTGTGTGTAATTTTTAATAGGCAAATTGTACCTTGATAGTTAACCATTTCTAACATTTTCTACTCTTTATTCCCAGCTACTCCTGGCTGTGTGCTGGGAGTGCTCCTGGCAGTGCCCAGGGGGCTGTGTGGTGGATTGAATCCAGACTTCCCAGAAGCAAAGCTTGCATTCAGCCCAGTGAACTTTCTCTCTTGGCCCTATTCATCTGTTTTGTCTATTAACCCTTTATTAGGTATATAATTTGCAAAATAACTTCTTCCATGTTTTAAAAAGTTTCCTTTTAATTGAATCACCATGAATAACAAAGTTAAATCATTTGTGATTCACTTTTCAATCTCATGTGTACACTGTCCCAACATTCCTTCCTTGATCACTGTACATGCCATCAGAGTCCTCAGTTTCCCTCCCGCCTCCCAGCTTGCCTCTGTGGCAGGCACTTTTTTTGCCTTCTCCCATGTTTTGATGGTGGTTTCTTTTGCTGTTAGATTTTTTTTTTTTTCAGTTTAAAGCACTCTTATGTATTTATTTTTTTGCAGTAGTTTCTTGTTATTGGAATAAATCTTCAAAAAAAAATTAAAAAGAATCTTCATAAAGAAAAGCCCAAGGTTAAGGAGCTGATAGTTTTTCTTCCATGTAGTTTTTGGTTTCAGGCTTAATTCAAGTGTTTAATCAATTTTGAATTAATGATGTTTTTGCTCAATTTGTCTGTTTTTTTTTTTGCTATACTCAGCTGTGCTCAGGCAGTCAGTACTGACTCTGCAGTACTGACTCTGAGCTTAGTGCTGATGAGCTTGGGGACTGATTGAGTTTCTGGAAATATTTGGGTTTCTGGGATTGAACCCAGGTGGACCACGTGCAAGGCAAATGTCTACCCACTGTACTCTCTCTGACCCATAATCTCATTTTTTTCTAATGTCCAGTTTTTCAACACCATTTATTGAAGAAACCTTTGTCATAAATTAGTTATCTGTAGATTAATGCATTATTTCTGGTCTCTCAATCCTGTTCTATGGATCTGTGTTTTTTATTCCAATAGCGTACTGTTTAGATTACCAAAATTTTATAAATAGTTTGAATCAGGATTTTGGTTCTTTGGTTCTGCTCCTTCTGTATAGTTTTGGCTAATCTGCGGTCTTTTGTCATTCAAAACACATTTTATTTTGCATTTGATTTTAGGCCACACCCAGCAGTGCTCAGGGCTCTATGCTCAGGGATCATTCCTGGCACGTTTTGGTGACCATATGTGGTGCTGGATTGAATGCAGGTGCCCTGCTGAGATGTAATTGCCTTACCAGCTGTAATGTCTCTCTGGCGCCCCAAGACACATTTTCGAATTTTTCGTTTCATTTGTGTGAAGAATGCCATCAGCATTTTGAATCTGCGTTCTGATTTAGGTAAAATGACCATTTAAACTAATGTTTCCTAACTGGAGGCCCAGGACAGGGAGAGTGTGAGGGCAAGGAAGGGAGAGAAAGAGAGGGAGAGGGATGGGGAGAAAGGGAGAGGGAGGGGGAGAAAGGGAGAGGGAGGGACAAGGAGGCGTGAAGGAGAGGAAGAGAGGGAGAGGGAGAAGGAGAGGGAGAGTGAGCAAAACCTCTGATTCCAGTAGGCAGGGGAGAGTCAGAGTTAATGACTGAAATGGCAGTTTGGACTTACTGATTTTTTTCATTAAACTGTGCTAAAGTTCCCTAATAATGGAGCCTGTGCACAGAATTAATAAAGAACCCTGAAGACTTGCTTTGAGAACCTCATCAAATTTGAATCAGAGGGCCACAGCTATATGTTGCCTTGTCTTGAAATCAGAAAGTATAGCCTGGCTTTGGAGCTTCACCTGGGATTTTGTTTTGTGTAAAATCTTGATTGCAGGGGCTGGAACGATAGTACAGCGGGTAGGGCGTTTGCCTTGCACGCGGCTGACCCAGGTTCAATTTCTAGCACCTCATATAGTCCTGTGAGCACTGCCAGGAGGAATTCCTGAGTACATGAGCCAGGAGTAACCCCTGTGCATTGCCGGGTGTGACCCAAAAAGCAAAAAAAAAAAAAAAAAAAAAAAAAAATCTTGATCGCATCATTAGGCCTTCAACTTAAATATTTTGTGGCGTTTTTTTCATTTTTTTTAATACTGTTGAATTGTAAGTACATCTTTCATGAGTGTCTCCCTTACTCCATATTGTGAATTGCTAGAAATTATCATAAAGTCCCTCTCTACTCACATTTTCCCCGTGAATTTTTTTCAAGTCAATTTTTTTTTTTCAAAGCTTTCTTTAAAGCCAAGATGAAGAAAACGCAGCCCGGTGAGATTGAAGCCATTCTACGGGAGCGGATTATGGTGCTCGATGGAGGGATGGGGACCATGATCCAGCGGCACCGGCTGAGTGAAGACGACTTCCGAGGGCAAGAATTTAAAGCGCATCCCAGGCCCCTGAAAGGCAACAATGACATTTTAAGCATAACTCAGCCAGATATCATTTATCAGATTCATAAGGTAAAGAGTCTTCAGCTTCTTAATATTTTCATTCCATCCTCTGAGCAGTTTTGCATGCCAAGGACGGGTCACTGTGTACAGTCTTTGTATGCTAAGGAAGACAGAAGTCATTTGTTCAGAAGGGATCCCTTTGACTCCAAATAAAAGTTACATACTATGTTGAATATTCAAGATAAGGTGATAGAGAAGGGAAGTTTCATTTGGCCTTTGAAACATTCTGATTTTTTTTCTTTTTTGTTTGTGGTTTCTTTTTGCTACGGATCTAAACCAGGGCCTCACACATGCAAAATCTTTGTGTGTGGGGGTGGGGGTGGGGGTGTGGTGAGGGGGGCGGCGGCACACCTGACTGTATTCAGGGCTTACTCCTTGCTGTGTGCTCAGGGATCACTCTTGGCATGCTCCGGACACCGTGTGTGGTGCTGGGGATTGAACCAGGGCCTCTTGTGTGCAACATAAGTGCCTTATCAGCTCTACTATTTTCTCTGGCCCTGCCATTTTTTAAAAATATTATTATATTTTTAATCGAATCACAGTGATATACACAATTGCAAAGTTGTTGATTATTGGATTTCAGTCATATAATGCTCCAACACCCATCCCTTCACCAGTGTAATTTTCCCACCACCAGTGGTCCTACTTTACCTCCCATCCCTGCCCCGCTCCATCCCTATGGCAGGTAGTTCCTCCTCCCTCTTCCTCTCTTCCTCTTTCCCTCTCTCCCTCTCTCTCCCTCCTCCTCTGAGGCCCTGCCGCTTTCAACAAAACTGTTTATAAAGAAACCAGTTTTACTGGTAGCTAATTGATATGAACAAGAGTTAAATTACTACTGCTTATTTCTGCTCACAACAGCATCATCACACTTCTAAATAAAGACCCCAAGTACTTCTAAAACTAACCAATAATTTGTATTTCATTCAGTTTTCCCACTGCTTGTTCCAGTCAGACTCCCTGGAATTCTTTGGCTGTAGAAACCATGCTTGTGTTCAATGGATGAATAAAGGGAAAAGGACCGAATTATTCTCACAGTTATTTCTAGTGGAGTCAGTGACTATAGATTAGATCTCCTGTTGTTGATTTTACTAGAACGTCCAAGTTATATTTGCACTACAAGTGCCTGCAGGAAAGAAGGTTGAGAGACAGGCTAAAGAATGAGAAGAAAAACATTTAAACTTTATTTCAGAGAAATTAAAAATTTTATACAATATTATAGGAAATTTAATTGGATTTAAGATATATGTCTTCTAATTATAAAGATGTTTATTTTTGTGAAAATAAGGTCTAGCTAGTTAATATGGAAAAAAACAAAAGAAAAATTAAAACAAAATACTTGTCAGTATCATGGCAGAACAGCTATTTATATTTTTAATTTATATTTTAATCTAGTTCTTATACTCGGAATTTTGAAATTAAATTACAATTTATTGCTTCATACTGTTTTATAATTTGTTATTTTAATTATATAGCATGAGTATTAAATATCTAGAAGAGTGGTTTTAATACCTTTGTAATAACCTGATTCATATGTATATTATTGGTTAATTTACTATCCTTATTTTGAGGTGAGAAAGCTGTTTTTAATTTTTCTTTCATTCTTGGGAAATTAAATTAAATTAATTATTTGGGGTCTGGAGGCATCTCTGTGGCATGCTGCTCTTTTCGGAGGTTCATTTGTGAGTCTCTGGATCATGTCCCCGAATGCGCTTAAATGGAGTCCAGGGGCAGTTCTTGGGCAGGAATGCCAGGAAAATGGAAAGGCGGGGAGATAGGAAGAGGTTACCCACCCCGACTCAGTGAAGCCTGGAGTTTTTAGTCACTGTTCCCGCGTACCTGGGTTTTTCAGCAGATTCATTCTCATGCTTGGGAAGCTCAGGATGAGCCTGTGATGGTTGGCTGTGAACATGGTGGCGATTGGGTTCTGCAGGTTTGTGGCAGCTGGGGTTCATTTGGGGCAGAGTGGGGACATACCTCCACTCTGAGGTGCCCCAATGATATCAGCCTGATGCAGGGTGGGGAGACTTCTCTGTGGAGTGCTGCTCTCCGCTGAGATTCATTTGTTATTTATATACATATATGTGTATGTGTGTACACATACATGTGTTATATATATGTGTGTGTGTGTATGTGTGTGTATATATATATATATATATATATATGTAGCACTGCACTGTACTCCCATTGTTCATCAGTTTGCTCGAGCGGGCACCAGTAATGTCTCCAACGTGAGACTTGTTGTTACTGTTTTTGGCATATCAAGTACGTCAGGGGAGCTTGCCAGGATCTGTTGTGTGGGTGGGGTACTCTCGGTAGCTTGCTGGGCTCTCCAAGCAAGCTTTGAATGTGTATAGATTTTCATTAACTTATGATTGCAATAGATTGCAGTATTTCCCAAACCATAGTAGCCTCTGGTGTACTTGGGGGTGGATGGGGTACTTTTATACATTGTAAAGTTGAACCATCATAATTTGTGGAATATATATATGTGTATATATGTGTTTAAACTCATAGTATTATTTGTATGTATGTATGCATTTTAACCTTTTTTTGGCTCAATAATTCTTTTGAAATCTTTTACATGGATGTATGTAGCAATGCAATGTTTTTAGCCATATAGAAAATTATAAAATAGAGATATCATAGTTTATTTATTTTTGTAATGAGGTTATTTAGTGTAATTTTGACTTCCTATATATATATGTAAATCTTGTTTTTTTTTAATTTCCAATTTTTCTTCAGTGTTTTCAGTATAGGCAAGGGTTGGTTTTACTCACTATTAGGAAATCATGGTGTTGAGAGATTCCAGAGTCTTCATCAGACTTTGGCCAGAGTGTGTCCAAAAAGTGAAACTAGAAAAAGAACTGGAGGGTATCAACTTCTCAAGGTTTTACTAAGAGAGTAGAGGGAGTGGGAGATGTGAACTGAAATATTCACATTTAGAACTGAGATCACAGAAGTAGTGCTGAGATAGTGATTCAGTGGGGAGCAGATCATGCTAAAGCAGGTAAAAGGTAAGAGAACTGAACCAACATTTGTTAAATGCCTATTCCGTGCCAGACACTGGATCGTATATCTGTATTTTCTCCCAAAGAAGGAGGGTTATGACACTTTCACAAATGAAACTGAAACTTAGTGAAGTGATGAAACTTTATCTGGATTTGATAAAATTCAGTTTGTTTATTTACACCACTACCTTTCTGTAAAATAAATCATTAACCTCTTCTGTAGTGTCTTCCATTCAGGAAGTGGCCAGAAGTTGCTTAGTGATGATAATGATCAATAAAAACAATTGTTGTTGGGGACAGGGCTCCTAAAATAGCTCACATTTGCATTACTTATCTCTTGTTGCAGGAGTACTTACTGGCAGGGGCAGATATCATTGAAACAAATACTTTCAGCAGTACTAGTATTGCTCAGGCTGACTATGGACTTGAAAACTTGGTAAGTATTCAATTTTTCTCCATATATAAGATGTTCATGAGCCTTTGGAATGTTGAATTTGCTAGTGATATTATCACCCAATCTGCAGAGTCGAAAACACCTAGTTAAGTATCATTTTTGGTCAGGGGAGAATGGTTTGAATCTCTCCTCTTTCTTTCTTTCTTTCTTTCTTTCTTTCTTTCTTTCTTTCTTTTTCTTTTTTTTTTTGTTTTTCAAATGTAGGAGTACTGCTGTTTATTCAACCACTGATTAAGCTGACTGAAGCAGCATGAACTCCACATTACTTTTCTTTTTTTTTTTTTTTTTGCTTTTTGGGTCACACCCGGTGATGCACAGGGGTTACTCCTGGCTCTGCACTCAGAAATCACCCCTGGCAGTGTTCAGGGGAACCATATGGGATCCTGGGAATCAAACCCAGGAATGCCCTACCCGCTGTGTTATCTCTTCAGCCCCTCCACATGACATTTTTTTTAATTAAATTTTATTTTCATAAAGTTGTTCACAATAATTGTTTGCATTCAATATTTCAACACCAGTCCCACCATGTTATACCTTCCCGCCACCATTATTTCAAATTTTCCCACCACTACCCAAGCCTGCTCCATAGGCAGATACTAAATGATTTATTTTGTATCGCTTGTTATGAATAGTAAGTGATGTCATGCAGCTGTAAAGTGGCCACATGCTCATGGAATTTTAAAATCTTTTAAATATTTGGGGTCTGGAAGCATCTTTGCAGCATGCCACTCTCTTCCAAGATTCATTTGTGAGTCTCTGAATCATGGCCCGTAATATGCTTAAATGGCCTGATTTTGATCTCTTTCGAGATTTATGTATGGGTTTCTGAAACAAGGCCGATAAATGAGCTTATACAGCTGAACTGGAGTTGTTTGTGGGTATGACTTTGACATACCTAACTTTTGATTGTTTAACTTCTTGAGAAACTTGGTCCCAAGTTCTTGGGGTTCGGCCAGAGGCACAGCGATAATTTTGGGGTTTTAGGAAGCCTGAAGGCACCATCAGGCTGCTGATGCACTCACCTTGCAGGTATAGGTTGACCTGCTGGGCGGCACCATACCCTCTTCTCTTCTGTTTTTTTTTTTCTTTTGGGTCACACCCAGCGATGCTTTGGGGTCACTCCTGGCAATGCGCTCAGGAATTACTCCTGGCAGTTGCTTGGGGGACCATATGGGATACTGGGGATTGAACCCAGGTTAGCTGCGTGCAAGGCAAACACCCTACCCACTGTACTGTAGCTCCGGCCTGCCCCTTCTCTTCTGCTTCTTAACAAAATAACCCATTTGTTTTCCAGCTGGCTTCTTTTATGGGCAAATAATAGTTAAATAAAAATGATAGTTATTCAGTGGTTGTGAGTAAAGTGATGAAGGCATAGCTAGTCGTGTGCAGTTTGTGAAACCCAAGTATAGGGTGACAGATTTAGTTTCCTCTGCTTCTCCCTCCACTTACTTGTAGTAAAATCAATATTCCATAAAATCACCATTATAATAATTTTTAATTATGCAGATGAATGGCACTTAGTACATCGTTGTGCTATCATTATTACTATATCTTTAGTCTTGCAAAACTGACATTCTATCTCCATTAAACAATGGCTCCACATTTCCCCTTCCCACAGAAAATCATCATTCTGTTTGTGTGCACTGTTTTGTTTTGATGGTGTTCAGGGCTTTTCCGGTTTTTCCCGGTTCTGTACTTAGGGGTCACTCCTGGCCATGACCATGCAGTAGTAGGGCTAGAACCCCGGCTTCCTGAATGCAAAGTGCTCAGCCCATTGAGCTGTGTCTTCAGCTTCTGTTGTATGAATTTGACCTCACTAGGTACCTTGTATAAGTGGAGGCAAAGGTATTTTCTTACTCAGCAAGGTAATAATCCAAGGCCAGAAGTAACACAATGGGAGAAGTGATCCACACAACTGAGTTAGTGTGGAGGGATGTTGAGAGGGAAGGGTGTTGGCATCTCTGGGGAGAAAGGTGGGTTCATGGATATTGGGGATGGTGTTGCATTTATGGGCATCATCAGCAGTATTGTATATCACCGAGCCTCGCTAAAACAAACAAAAAATGAAAATAAAAGCAGTCACCAGAGGCACTCCAATTGCATTCATTATTGGAGCTAGCCATAGAATTTCTTATTTATTCCATTTGGATTTCATTTGGCCTTCAGATTTGTTGACTCTTATTTCCTTGCTGAGTTAAACTGGGTTTTAGAACAGTGTGGGTTTCTTACTGTATGGAGGAACAGAAGGACAGAGTGACATTTCTGTCCTTTGTGTTAGGCCTACCGGATGAACAAATGCTCTGCAGGAGTGGCCCGAAAGGCAGCCGAGGAGGTAACGCTCCAGACAGGTAAGGGGTCTCCTGATTTTACAGAAATGGTTCCTTCGATACCCTCAGCAATCCTGCGCTGTCCTTGCTGCACTTTTTTTCTTTGATGACAGTTGACCTACCAGTGACACTGCAGATATACTGGTTTGTAGCCACTTCTCCGGAGTTTCATAACCCAGCATTCGATGGCTTTGTGAACGGACTAGATTCCAGTGAGCCAATGCTCAGGGTTTGGATGCTTTACCAAGGGTTATAGCATAACTTTGTAGCTTCGTTCATGACTTCCTAATGTGTTTATAGCTAACATAACTTTTTTCTCTTTGGAAACATTATGAAGTTATTAAGGTTAATAGCTGATTAAGATATTGAATTGTATCCTTTTAAAACTACCTTTAGGGTACATTGAGTAGGGTGCTTGTCTTGCATACAAACAATACAGATCCGATGTCCAGTACCCCATATGGTTCCTGAGCCCCACCAGGAGTGATCCCTGAGTGCAGATAATCCCTGAACAGTGCGGTTCAAAAATCAAATAAACAAAAAAACCCAACTATCTTTATGCCTGTGGTTAGCTAATTTAGGTAAAGAGACACTGTTTTAGGGCCTGCAGTGATAGTACCGTGGGTAGGGCATTTGCGTGGGTTTGATCCCTGGTATCCCATATGGTCACTTGAGCCCTCCAGGAATAATCCCTGATTTCAGAGCCAGAAGTAATCCCTGAGCACTACCAGGTGTGCCCTTCTCCCCCCTACACACACTAAAATGAAAGACTCTTTATTTTCCATTTCATACCACTATAGTGTTCTTGAAGACTCTGTGAGGCACCAAAAGAGTCTGGCATTCGATTTATTCTTGCTGGGATTTGAAAAGTGCCTCCCCAGAATAACCTCCTGGCTGACTGCCCTAAAGAACACTTGGGCACCAGCTGGTAGGGAGGCTATGAGGGAGGAAAGGAAAAGAAGAAATATATGGAGCCCCTTTGGATTTGGAAATGTGAAACTATTGACAGCAGGAAAGATGTATGCGAAATTGTGAAGAAGTTAGATACTGGCATGGTAATGAATATTGAAGCCATTTATAGGAACTCTGTTTCTGCGAGATAATGTTTAAATCCAGAGGAATGTAGACAGTTACTCTAACAGAGTTACAGGTTAGAGGATATTTTTGTTTTGTTTTGTTTTGGTGCTTAGGTCTTATTCCTGGCTCTGAACTCACAGAACACTGCTGGCAGGGTTTGGGGGATCATATGGGATGCTGGGGATCAAGCCCAAGTCGGCTGTGTTCAAGGCAAGTGCCTTACTTGCTGTGCTATTGCTTCAACCCCCCACGCCCTTTTTTTTGATTTTGGTGTGTGTATGTGTGTGGGGGCGGGGGGGGGGTGGGTTTGGTTTGTTTGTTTGTTTTTTCTTTTCTCCTGCAGTGCTGAGGACTTATTTCTAGCTCTGAGCTTAGTGATCACTAAGTGGGATTTTGGGAAAAAACCCTGGTCACCCATGTGCAAGGCAAGTTCTTGTATTATCTCTCTGGCCCAGGCTAGAGGATATTAATTAGCTAATGCAAGGAAAGTGAGGGCATTTTTTTCTGCCTGCACATTATTATTCAGCTTTGGGGAAGATAAAGAATATTGGGCTTGTAACCTGTTCACACACTGGGTCATCTCCTACTTGTCAGTCTTACCCAGTTAATTGTAAAACACAGCAGAGGCTGTGTGATAAGTAAATGAAAACAAATTCTCATCCTCTTTTAGACGCACTCACCCTAGAGGAAAGGTTATCAAATAATTTTTAGAACTTATTGAATATTTCTCCTTCATACTTTATGAATTGAACCTTACTCATTAAACTTACTGAACTTTAAGAACTCATTTGATACTATCTGCTTCTTTAATTTTTTTTGGCAGGGGTCTGGGGTTGGGAGCCATTCTTGGCGGTGCTCAGAGCCTATTCCTGGCTCTGTGTTTAGGGATCACTCCTGGTGGGGTTCAGAGAAGTCTATTGGGTGCTTTGTATCAAGCCTGGGTCAGGCATGTGCAAGGCAAGAGCCAGCTGGTGGTACTCAGGGGACTATATGGGATGCTGGGAATCAAACCCGGGTGCAAGGCAAACGCCCTACCCTCTGTGCCATTGCTCCTTATCCCTTATATTTAACAGTTTCCTGAGTGGTAGTGGAGATAGCACCTTTAATTGCATTTTTAGTTTTTTTGGTGGTGCTGGTCATGAACACAGAGCCTCACACATGCAGGGCACTGATCTGCTGCTAAACTATATATCCCTGACCGTTAGAGAAATCAAGGTTTTTTTGTTTGTTTGTTTGTTTTCTTTTTGGGTCACACCTGGCGATGTACAGGGGTTACTCCTGGCTCTGCACTCAGGAATCACTCCTGGCAGTGCTGGGGAACCATACGGGATGCTGGGAATCGAACCCAGGTTGGCCATGTACAAGGCAATGCCCTACCTACTGTGCTATTGTTCCAGCCCAGAAATCAAGTGTTATTGTCATATAAATTAAGGAAAAAAATATGTAGGTGTTCTTCCTTTTTGGATATCATTGTTATGAGCAGAGCACTGTAGGCTTTTTAAAAAAAATTTTTTTATTGAATCCCATGAGAGACCAGTTACAAAGCTTTCATACAATGATCAAACACCCATCTCTTCACCAGTGCACATGTTCCACCACCAAGAACCCCAGTATCAGTATACCCACCATCCCACCCCCTGCCTGTGTGGCAGATGATTTCCACTTTACTCTCTCTCTACTTTGATTACATTCAATTTTTTGACAGAAAACCTACCATTATTATTTGGAATTTTCCCCCAACAATCAGACCTGCCGAAAAGGCATCGTTAGATAATTTGTTTCCTGTTGCTGATAATGAAGAGCATATGAATTTGAATTTCTGATATTTTAGTAATTAAGTCCGGAGGGATTTCTGCCAAAAGCCACTGGTTCCGAGGATTGGTTTGTGTGCCTCTTGGATCATGGCCATTCCAGAGCCAAAGAAGCCGTCCTTGGGTGACAACGCGAGGTCTCGTCTGGGCGGGGAGAAGGGCCGGTTCTATCCCCCATCCCGTGAGGCCCTGCGTCTCTCATCACTGCAGGCTTGTACCTCTCTGTACAATAGGCTCTGAACCATGTTGGTCACCAAGCTGCCGCTGAGGGGGAAATGCGCAAGGGACAATGCCCTTTCCCACCCAGGGTGGCATGGGCCCATAGCTTAATTCAGAGTCCAGAAGCAATTCTACCAGAAGCCCCTGAGTTCCGAGATTGGTTTGTGTGCCTCTGGTATCATGGCCGTTTTGGAGCTGGACAGTGGCAACTCAGGGTCTTGTCTTGGACTTTTGTTTTAGGGATAGTTTTTCTTTTTTTTTAATTTTTGTTAGTGAAACACCATGAGGTACAGTTGTAGACTTACAGATTTTTGTGCTTGGGTTTCAGTTATACAATGATCGAGTACCCATCCCTCCACCAGTGCCCATTCTCCACCACCGTTGATCTCAGTATCCGTCCCACCCCCCATCCCCCCATCCCACCCTGCCACTATGGCAGGGCACTCCCTTTTGTTCTCCCTCTCCTTTTGTGTGCTGTGGTTTGCAAAAGAGGCATTGAGTGGCAATCATGTTTGGTCTATAGTCTACTTTCAGCATGCATCTCACATCCTGGGAGGATCCTCCCAATACCCTTTATTTGGTGCTTGTTAGGGATAGTCTTATACCCTTTATTGACTAGTCTATATTGATTCTTGACAAAATGATGGAGCTGTTTACAGATTTTATTCTCATTTTCCTTTCCCTAAAGGAATTAAAAGGTTTGTGGCAGGATCTTTGGGTCCAACTAATAAGACACTGTCTGTATCCCCATCCGTGGAAAGACCAGATTACAGGAATATCAGTGAGTATTTATCATATATAATCCATGATAGTGGGCAGATATTTCTATATTTCATTAACCTGTTCCAATGATTGGGCCAGTGACAGGTTCCAGCTCAGTGTTGTCGTGACTACATCTGTTTTAAGGGTTTACAATGGTCCCTTGAATATAGTGGAAATGTAAATAAAAAAACTAGCTATTTTTTTTAAGTTTGCTTTCAATTGTACAGGAATTATCATCTCTGAAAATAAAACCAGTCATAATAAAGCCTTAAAATGAGAAGTTGAGTAAATACCTATTAAATATCTATACTAGATCTTGAACTACTGTGAAATAATTTACTTGACAGCAGTCCTAAATTATTTAAATATGCTAGCATTATAAATATTAAAAAACTAGCACATAAGTATACTTAACATTGAGAGTTTATGTAAAATCTCAAAGCCTAAATTGGTTTAGCAGTAGACCACAAAAATTTAAAAGACGCTCTCAGAACTAAAGAGCAATGGTAACATTTTTGATAATGAATTTTATGTCAATGGAAAGTTCAGGTTTGTAGATTTTGTTACAGAATGTTCTGTGTAGCCATATCACATTCCCCCCAAACCCCCCAGCGCTGCTTATACTGGGCTGTGTGTTAGCTGTGTCTGGGCTATGCTTGATAGCAAGGAGTTCACTTTCACCTTTGTCTTGTGCTACTGAGGATTAAGTATACTTGTATGTTATAAACAAGTGTAAATGTACTTTTTAGGCTCTTCCACTGAGTGTTTTTGCTTAGAGGTAAAATGGGGAGAGGACTAGCCTCTCAAATGGAAATAGACAATTCAAGAGGTTTCTTTGTGTGTATGTGTGAGTATGGAATCACGCCTGGAGGTGTTAGGGGCACCTTTGATGCTCAGGGACCACGCTGTACCAAGGATCTTAACACAGCTCTCACATGCAAAGAAAGAAAGCATGTGCTCTAGACTCTGGCCTGTCAAGAGTATTTTTTTTTAAATCATTAAGCATAATTGATATATATATACACACATACCATTTTATTATTTTCAGTTATCAACATAATGATTTGATACAATAAAATACAATGCAGTAAAAATCATCATTTTTTTGGGGGGGGAACCTTTTGGGTCATACCTGGTGGTGCTCGGGGGTTGCTCCTGCTTCTGCACTCAGTTATCACTCCTGACAGTGCTCGGGGGACCAAACGGTATTCTGGGATCAAACCTGAGTTGACTATGTGCAAGGCAAACACCCTTTCTGATGTGCTGTAGCTCCGGCCCCTCCATTAGTTATTTTTTTTTAATTAGTGAAACACCATGAGGTACAGTTGTAGACTTATAAATTTTTGTGCTTGGGTTTCAGTTATACAATGATCGAATACCCATCCCTCAACCAGTTCCCATTTCCCACCACCATGGGTCCCAATATCCCTCCCACCCCCCATCACCCCCCACCCCACCCTGCCTCTGTGGCAGGGCATTCCCTTTTGTTCTCTCTCTCCTTTTGGGTGTTGTGGTTTGCAAAAGAGGCATTGAGTGGCAATCATGTTTGATCTATAGTCTACTTTCAGCATGCTTCCCCTCCATTAGTTTTTAAATTTTTGTTTTGTTTTGTTTTATTGGCTATACCCAGTTGTGCTCAGGCTTGTTCATGGTTCTGGTTCCAGAATCAAACCTGGCAGGGCTTGAAGGGCCATATAAGGTACTAGGGATTGAACCAGGGTTTTCACTGCCCACTGTACTCTCTCTTCCGTTGTTAGCACATTTTCAGATTTGTGGTACTATACCATGAACCTGGTGCTGTATGCTGCACCATGCTGACTTACTTATTTTATTACTAGGGGTTTGTAATTAGGAATTTGTATGTTTTGCTCTTCTGTACCCATTTTGCCCATATGGAACTCTCCCCTCAACTCTTCTCCACTCCTCAAAAGGTTCCTTGCAAGGACTGGAGAGAGTCCTCAATGGGCTGGGTGGCACGCTTTGGATGCAGACAGCCTGGGTTCAAGCCCAGGCACTGAATGGTCCCCAAAGCACTCCTGGGTGTGACCCCCAAACAAAAACAACACAAAACAGAAAGTAAAAGATATTCCTAAGAAAACCTAAGTCATTGAACACTCTTGTTTGAGGTTAGAATTGCTCATCAGGCTGGTTTCCTCATTGTCAGAGTTGTTGTCAGAAGGCAAAAGCAAAATCCACACTTTTGCAGCTTTTTATCTCAGGCTGGAGGGAATGTGATCGGATCTCTGATGTCTTCATGTAAGCATGACATTTCTTTAGTTAATCCTCACAATCATCCCTTGATTAATTAAAACTTGTGGTAAAAATGATCTGTTTTAAAGAGATTCAGTGTAAAGTGTGGGTTTACAACATTATGTACTTTCTTACTCATTCTAAGGGGCGGGGGTGTTATGGCAAGTGTTTGGGAGCAATTGTGTTTAGTTGCTGGTTTAACTTCTATCCACTGCCATATTCCTTACTTAATTTCTTACAGAATATGGTCTTGTCCTTAAATGGTGCATAATGAGTCAGCAGTAGGCCAGGTCTGGTCTCCGCATGTCCTAGCCTTCAGGCCACGGTGATGACTGGGGCTGGCTGTGATTTCTTCGTTTTTTTTTTTTGCAGCGTTTGATGAGCTTGTTGAAGCATACAGAGAGCAGGCCCAAGGACTTCTAGATGGTGGGGTTGACATCTTACTCATTGAAACTATTTTTGATACTGCCAATGCCAAGGTGAGTTAAGTCAGAAAAACGGGGAACGCTGAGGTAGGTGCTGTAATGAATTCCCTAATGTAATAAGAAGGCAATTTTAGCCTTTACCAAAGTTAAATTACCTCTATTCCATTTTATTATTGAGTTTATATATAGATGTATAGATATAGGTATATGTAGATATCTATATATATCATTTAATGTGTTTTTAATTTCAGAGCTATATCTGACAGTGCTCTGGGACTACTCCTGGTGCTGCTCAGAGGATCTGAGGTCCTGGGGTTCCCACATTGCAAAGCGTGTGCTTCAGTCCTTTGAGCCATCTCTCAGCCCTGAAAAAAATATTGTGTGTATAATATTTATATGCACACACACATGCGCGCGCACACACACACACACACACACACACTCTCAGAGTTCAGGGTCAAATCCAGGTCTTCACTGTGTAAGATAGGTACTCTACTATTAAGCTACATCCCCAGCCCAATCACTGCATATTTTATTTTTTTCATTTTTAAATTATTTTTTAATTTTTATTTATTTATTTTTGCTTTTTGGGTCACATCTGTGATGCTCAGGGGTTACTCCTGGCTCTGCACTCAGGAATTACTCCTGGCGGTGCTCGGGGGACCATATGGGATGCTGGGGATCAAACCTGGCAAACGCTCTACTCCCTGTACTATAGCTCCAGCCCTAATTTTTAATTTTTGGGTGGGCCAAACCTAGTGGTTTTCAGGGTTTACTCCTAGCTTTGAGTTCAGAGATCACTCCTGGTAGGCTTGGAAGACCATATTTGGTACCAGGGATTGAATCTGGTCTGTTGTGTGCAAAGCAAGCGTTCTACCTGCTATACTATGTTTCTGGTCCCTACTGATTTTTCCTGTTTTATTTTGGGGTCACTTGGTGGTGCTAAGGGCTTATTCCTGGCCCTAAACTCAGGGTTCACTCCTGGTAATGCTTGAGGGACCATATTAGGGTGATCGGGATTGAACCCAGATCAGCCATGTGCAAGACAAATGCCTTAACCTCTGCACTCATTCTCTGGCCTCTATTTTAGATTCTTCAAGGTGCAGTAAAATTTCAGTAGTATTAAATTCACAGTTGATCATTCTATGTCTGCCCTCCCTCTGACTCATTTCACTGAGCAGGATATTCTCCATGTCCATCCATATATTATCACATTTCATAACTAGTTTGAAATTTGACCCTTCCTTCCTTCCTTCCTTCCTTCCTTCCTTCCTTCCTTCCTTCCTTCCTTCCTTCCTCCCTCCCTCCGTCCCTCCCTCCCTCCCTCCCTCCTTCCTTTCCCTCCCTTCTTCCTTCCTTTTCTTTCTTTCTTTTTTGGTATTGGCTCACATCTGGCTATGCTCAGGGTTTTCTCCTGGCATTCAGGAATTACTCCTGGCTGTACTGGGGGATCACATGAGAGGCCAGGGATCAAACCCAAGTTAGCATATTCAAGGCAAGTGCCTTACTCATTGTACTATCACTCCAGCCCCAGTTTGAAACATTAAAAAAAAAAGACTAAAGTACCAGAATCATGAAAAATAAGGGGAGATGTGTATACTACCTTATTCCTAACATGTTGCCTAAAAATTTTTGTTTTAGTTTTGGAATACACCTGGCAGTGCTTGGGAATTATTCCCAGACCTGTGACCAGTGGTTACTTTGGGAGGTGCTGAAGGAACTGTATAGTGATGGTCATTAAATCTGGTCCTTCTGCATGCAGAACATGCACTCAGCCCTTTGTATTATTCCTCTGGCTCTATGCATCTCTTTTATCCACCTTTCAGAAATTCAGAATCTTCAGTAAGCAAATTTTAACTTGAAAAGTTAACTCAGCTGTATGTTTTGAGCAGTAATGAGATTATATTTAAAGAGAGATCCAGGTATACATTCGAAAAGAGCCACCATATTATTTATATCAGAAATAAGGAAGAGATAATAATAGATTATAGTGAATAGCATTAAAGATGTTAAAGATTTGTTAGTTCCGATTTTGAGTTTTAGCATGTGTTGTATATTGTTTTGATTCTAGAGGTTTCCTTCATACATCTGGAATTTATTTTGGGGTGAGGAATAGAGATATGATTGTTTTTTCCCCCTTCTTTTGGTGGTGCCCAGAGGCTATTCCTGGCTTTGTGCTAGGGAATGACCCTGGTGTTGCCTAGGAGACTGTCTGTTGTGACTGAGATTCAAGGGGATTGGCTGCATGTAAGGCTAGCATCTTACCTCTTGTACAGTCTCTCCTTACTAAACTCTTTCTATAAGGTGCAGCTGATTTTCTTAACATAATTCACCGACACATCTTATTATTTTCCATTGAGAGGAATCATGTGGAGTGATACTTTATATCATCCTGAATTTAGGAAGGCAGGGCCATAGAGATAGTACAGCAGATAGGGTGCTTGCCTTGTATGCAGCCGACCTGGGTTCAGTCTCTTGCACCTGTATGGTCCCCTGAGCTCCATCAAGAGTGATCCTGAGCACAGAGATAGAAATAAGCACCAAGGATTGCCAAGCATGGCCCCCCAAACAAAAAACCAACAAAACAAAAACAACATTCAGGAGTGCATCTGGATCAAATTTAGTCTATTAATCTGTAGAATGGTGTCAAACTCCCACCCTATTATATATCACCACATTGTAAGTACAATGTGCTGGGTTAACTGTTAGGTTTTGCCTTTACCCTTTTTTTCCACCCAATTATATATAATTAAAAGATTCTTGGGCTAATTATATATGATACTTTTCCATAATATTTTTGCTTATTTGCTTGTTTGTTGTCTTGGGGCCACACCCGACCCAAAAACTTGATCAGGGGAACTCCTGGCTTGGTGCTCATGGGTCCCTCCCAGTGGTGTTTGGGGATCCTGTGGGGATTGAACCTGCGGGGTACCCTCCTTTCTGCCCCTCCCCCCTCCCTGCAACCCCCCCCCTCACCACCACCGTGTATGCAGAAGATGCACTCAGTCTGTTGAGCTCTCTCTAGCCTTTCCTAAGAGCTCTAGGCTCAACTTCTAGTTCTAAAAAAGAAATTCAGATATTGTTAACTTATTAATTTCCATGATAAAAGCAACCTTCATTGTCATGCCAAGGGAATACATAAGTTCAAGATTACATTTTGATTTTACATTTTTTTCACACTAAAATGTGCACCTTTTAGAATCAGAAAATATAATGAGAAAAAGAAATAGAAGATATGTTCTTTAGACCTTAATAAAACATAGACAGTACACAGGAAAATGTAACATGTACCTTTATAACCTGTATCACATGCACTTTTTAAAGAAAAAATCTTGGGCCACACCTGGCAGTGCTCAGGGCTTATTTTTGGTCCTGTGTTCAGGGTTCATTCCTTATAGGGCTTGGGGGATCATATGGGGTGTTAGGATGAAACCTGGGTTGGCCCCGTGCGATGCTCAGGGGATCATATGAGGTGGCAGGATCAAACTTGGGTTGATCACATGCAAGGCAAGTGCCCTACTTAGAATTCTCTCTCCCAGTCTTGCTGTTTTTGTGTGTGTTATATTTTAAAATCTGTTTCATTTTGATTGAGAGAAAGAAGAAAGAACAGTCCTTCAGTTCCCCCTTCACGGATATACTGGTTCATAGCAGAGCTTTCAGACAGCATTGGTTTGTTCTAAGCTGTATAGTGTTACATCTGAGAAAGGGAAGCAGGGTTTGAATTTTGTTGGGAGGATGTATATCTTCTTCCCAGCAGATAATTGTAGTATCAGGGCTGGGGAAAGAGCTCATTCTTATCAGCTGGTTAAACTAATCTTGGACAGTCTCCCAGTTATGAAGATGTTCTTTTTCCTCTCTTCAACAGGCAGCCTTGTTTGCAGTCCAGAACCTTTTTGAAGAGCAATATGCTTCCAGGCCTATCTTTGTAAGTTCTAAAATGTTTGTGTAATGATTTTTGTCTCTTTGATTAATGTCCTCTTTAGGGTAGGTTTTTGTTTTTGTGCATAGCAGAACTAGGGTAGTATCTTTTAAGAACCACCTACTTATCAAATGTGGGTGCACCCTTGGCTTTGGATGACAAAAATGAGAGTGCCAATGAAGGGGGGTGGAGAGAGTGCCAATGTGGGGTGGGATTAGGAGGAGTGGATTGTTGGTAACATAGGGGCATTGATCAGGGACATTGGACACTTTGGTGGTGCAGAGGTGAAGATGCTATGTTAATCAAAATCAGAAGGGTCATTGCTATTGTAAATATGTCATTTAAGCATGGGTTTACTAAGGAGGTGGGATAGGAGTAGGTAGGGATGGCCAAGCGAGCTGATGCTGGTGTGGGTTTGGAGTTGGAATATTTTATGCCTGAAACCCTGCTAATCACAGCATTGTGAAACATGGCATCTAAATTAAAATGGGGGAAGAAAAGAGCCATCTACTTTTTCTTGGGTTGGGGGGGGGGGAGGGTCGCACACCCAGTGGTGCTCAGTGCTTCTGTGCTCAGGGATCATTCCAGGTGGACTTAGGGATCCATATGGGATGCTGGGGATTGAACCCTAGTTGGCTGCATGCTAGGCATATGCTTTTCTGTTGTTCTATCGCTTTGGCCCTCACTGTCAGTTTTTTCTTCAGTGACTCTACTCTACATATTTAAAATAAAAACTGTCTTACCAACTCCTTCCCCTGAGTCACAGTTTGTTGATTTTGACCATTACAAAAAGTGTTTCCTTAGGTTTTAAGTTGCATACTTCTTTTTCTAAAAAGTTTTAAAATTTTATTTTCATGAAGTTGTTCACAATAATTGTTTACATTCAACATTTTAACACCAATTCCACCACCTTTATACCTGTCCACCACTATTTTGAATTTTCCCACTACCACCCAAGCGTGCCCCATAGGCAGATACTAAATAATTTATTTTGTATTGCTGTTACGAATAGTATGAGATGTTGTACAGCCACGAAAGTGGCTGTGTGCTCCTGGAATTCTAAAATTTTTTAAATGTTTGGGTTCTGGAGGCATCTCTGTGGCATGCTGCTCTCTTCCAAGATTCATTTGTGATTCTCTACATCTTAGCTGTTAATGTGCTTAAATGGTGCCCAAGGGCAGTTTGTGGACACGACTGTCAGGAAACCAGAAGGGAGGGGAGATGAGGGAGGTTGCCCATCCCCAACTCTGTGAAGCCTGGAGTTTTCAGTCACTGGTCCTGCATACCTAGATTTTTCAGTAGGTTCATTCTCATGCCCAGGGGGCTCGGGATGAGTGACAATTGGGTTCTGGAAGTTTGTGGCCACCGGGGTTCATTTGGGGCAGGTGGAGGGACACCTGCTTCTCTCTGAGATGCCCTAGTGAAATCAGCCTGGTGCAGGGTTGGGAGACATCTCTGTGGCATGCTACTCTCTTCTAAGATTCATTTGTGAGTCTCTGGATCATGGCCATTAATGCACTTAAATGGCCTGATTTTGATCTTTTTTGAGATTTATTTATGGGTCTCTGAAGCAAGGCTGATAAATGAGCTTGCATAGCTGAGCCGGAGGTGGTTTGTGGGCGTGACTCCCCCATACCTAACCTTTGGCTGTTTAATTTCTTGGGAAACTTGGTCTCAAGTTGTTGCGTTCCAGCCAGGAGCATAGCAGCAATTTTGGGGTATCAGGAAGCCTGAAGGCGCCATCAGGCTGCTGATGCACTCACCCTGCAGGTACAGGTTGACCTGCTGGTGGCTCCGTATCCCCAAGTTCCACAGTTCTTTCCCTTATGGAAGAACAAAGTCAGTGTGACTTTTTTCTATTTTGTCTATGTTAATATATCTTTAATCCAAGTCTACGTTTTTGATTGAATTTACTTTTTAAATTCAGATTTCAGGGACAATTGTTGACAAAAGTGGAAGGACTCTTTCTGGACAGACTGGAGAGGCATTTGTCATCAGTGTGTCTCATGTGGACCCGCTGTGGTGAGTGATATTTCTTTCCTTGCTCCATTCTTTATTTTCAGGAGGAGTATGTTTGGGCTAGAGGGCATACTTCCAGCTCTGTGCATGGAAGTCTCTCCGGAGGATGATCAGGGACCCCTGTGGTGTTGGGATTTGAACCCCGGGTGGCTGCATGTACTGCATGCCTTAGTACTCTATCTCCAGCCCCATGCTTCATTTCTTTAAGGGTTTTTTTTTTTTGGGTCACACCTGGCAGTGCACAGGGGTTACTCCTGGCTCTGCACTTAGGAATTACTCCTGGCAGTGCTTGAGGGACCACATGGAATGCTGGGACTCGAACCCAGGTTGGCAAATGCCCTACCCGCTATACTATCGCTCTAGATCCTAAGGGGGATTTTTTTGTTAGCTACAAAATGTGAGATTGTGTCTGTGTATTTCCATTGTCACTTGCCTATGATATTGACTTTCCTTAAAGAATTTTCAGCCCTTTCCACAAGCCAAGTCTTTCTCTCATAGTTCTAAGTCTAAGAATAGAGACTGGAAGATAGTGCTTGGGCCTGGAACACATGCTTTGCATGTTTGAGCGGAGATCCATGCTTGTGTCAATAATAGCACCTTAAAACTATTTTTAAGGTCAGCATTTACATTTTTAAAAAACATTTTGGTGTTTGGGCCATAGCTAAGATTCTTGGGGGACCATGTGGGTGCTTAGGTATCATGCGTGGCGGGAACGTTGTGCCAAGTATTGAACATGGGCAGTCTGCATGCAAGGCAGGGACCCTCCCCATTGTACTATCATTCCAGCCCCAGTTGTGAATTTTTGTGATTCTATTTTGTTTTGGTTTTAGAGTCACACTCAGCAATACTCAGGGGTTGCTTCTGGCTCTGCACTCAGGAATCATCCCATCAGTGCTCAGGGGCACCATATGGGATGTCAGGGATCAAACCCGGGTCAGCCATGTGCAAGGCAAGCACCCTGCTCCCTGTACTAGCTCTCCAGTCTCTAGTTCTCAATTTTTTTTATCATCACATTAACATAGATTTTACATTCTGTTTTAAAATATCTCCCTGTTTTCCTTGTCAGAATGTCTTAAATTATATGCCTTGAGTGAAACATAGATTCCAAGAGCATATCTATTTTTCTCCTGTGCTCAAAGGTTTTGAAGATAAGTGTACATTAAGTGTTTGTGAAATCAGTGTTTTTTCAGACTTAAGAAAAGTTGCAAAAGGATAGTACAGAGTACTCCCATGTACTCTTGGATTATTTTCATTGTATTTTACCCCCTTTTGTTAATATGTTACATAACTGTGGTACTTGGTGAAGATTAAACTACACTGCTAAGAACTAAAAATGTTCAGGTTTTATTTGGACCTCAGCTTTTCCAATACTGTCCCTTTTCTGGTCTAGGATTTAATTTTCAGAATCCCATGGCATGTAGGAATAATACAAAATGAAATTCAGTACTATCTGAAAAAAAAAAGAGTAAAATGCCATGATTTGGTAGATTCATGCCTAATTCCTTTTTTTTGTTGTTTTTGTTTTTGGGTCACACCCAGTGCTGCTCAGGGGTTACTTCTGGCTCTGCACTCAGGAATTACTCCTAGTGGTGCTTGAGGGACCAAATGGGATGCTGGGGATTGATTGAACCAGGGTCGGCTGCATGCAAGGCAAACACCCGCTGTGCTATCTCTCCAGCCCCTCATGTCTAATTCTTGAAGGCCATTAGCACTCCACTGAGAGTGCTGTTGTAGGGGTTTAAGGCCCTCCTCTTTATTTTAGAGAAATTCTGTTTTGATTTGTTCTGAGGTTGTATTACATTTCATTTTGTAAAACAGAGAGCCTTTTGGCTTCACAGTCAAGCTGGTAAAAAAAACCAGCTTAATTTTTAAGAGGACAGATCTGAAGTCCAAGGTTATCTTTCAAGTCCTTTACTGAGCAAGGATTAAAGGCCCATCCATTAGATTCACAAAGCCTCTTTCCTTTACCATTAATATTCCTTCTTCATTTAAGATTTTTCTTCTTTTTCCCTCTTAAATATTGCTTTCACATAAGAAGTTTATTAGAAGAGGCAGTTGCAGGCATATTTCTACTTCACAGTATTTCCCTTAGCCAAACTGTGAACTTCCCATCCTTAGGGTCCTTTAGCTCTAAAATCTGATATTGGAGACCAAACAAAAATATCTATGCTCTGTGAGAGCTCAGTGAGATGACTTTGACAGTAGTCAGATAAACATGCTTTAAAGCACAAGGTTATTATTAGTGGCTTGGTTTTAGGTTATGTTCCTTACTTTATCGTTACTTTGTATATATAGCACTGTCTGTATAGCACTGTCCTCCCGTTGTTCATGGATTTGCTCGAGCTGGCCCAGTAACATCTTCATTTTGAGACTTGTTACTGTGTTTGGCATATTGAATATGTCACGGGTAGCTTGCCAGGCTTTGCTGTTCCGGCGAGATACTCTCGGTAGCTTGCCGGGCTCTCCAAGAGGGGTGGAAAAATCGAACCTGGCTCCGTCAGGCTGGCTGCGTGCAAGGCAAACTCCCAATGCTGTGCTATCGCTCCAGCCCACTTTGTATATATAAGCATTTTAAATAAACAGTGCTGCTTCTAATACCTTTATTTTTTCCTCCCCAGTATTGGATTGAATTGTGCTCTGGGTGCAGCTGAAATGAGACCTTTTATTGAAACAATTGGAAAATCTACCAAGGCCTATGTCCTCTGTTATCCCAATGCAGGTGTGTATTACAAGGTGCTCACCCCAAAAATTTGTATTGCAGGTCTTGTTATAGAGTTGACACCAAATGGAATTTTATTATTTTTTTTAATGAAAAAGTATTTTGTTCTAGGCCCTTGTTTCCCTTTAGCCCTGAATGAAACATTTGGTTCAACCAGAAAAATTCGGAATTGAATAAAAATTGTTTTACTTTGGTAAAACAACAAAAGCGTCATCCACGACTGACCAAATTTTGCCCTTGGGGATGATTTTTCAGAATTGAGAAAAGTTGCAAAAGGATAGTACATGAAGGGATGCGATGCCAAAGAAGGGATGTGAAGAAGAAGAGGGGGTGCCCTTTGTCCTCACGGGACTCCTTCTGCTGTACTATCCAAGAGAAGGCGGAGAACTCTGCATGTTACCTGCCTTTTGTTTTTCTAAATAAGAACTAGTTTACTGTTTATAAAAATTGTAAGGTGTTTGTAGATCTCAAGCTGTGCAATTAAATGTTAGCTATCCTAGGATAATCTGCATTTTTAGTGATTTTTTTTTTAGCACCACATAGTTACTTAAGGCTCACAATCACTTTCCAATCTTCTTTCTCCAAATATGTACATTTTAATACACAATTCCTGTTTTCCCCTAAGAGAAAGATAAAAGGAAGGAGATAATAAAAAATACAAATTATATATAGTTAGGTGCTAAAGTCTGACTTGGGAAATTCTATTTGAAAGGAGCTGGTTGTGTTTTTCCTTGTTTCCTTTTTTTCTTTTGTTTTTGAGTCATACGCAGTGGTGCTCAGGGCTTGCTCCTGGCTCTGCTCAGGGATCACTCCTGGTGAATCTAGAAGACCATCATATGGGGTCTTCTGTGTCAGCTGTGTGCAAGGCAAGTGCCTTATCTGTGGTACTATCATTCTAGTCCCTTTGCTTTTACTTTTAAATGTATGTTAGATGTTCATTAGTTCTGAGTATATGTAGTACCATTCCCCCCTCCCTGCCCCTCTTCCCCCCACGCACACACCCCCTTCAGCAAGCCAGGCTTGCTCCTGGCTCTGCTCAGGGATCACTCCTGGTGAATCTAGAAGACCATCATATGGGGTCTTCTGGGTCAGCTGTGTGCAAGGCAAGTGCCTTATCTGTGGTACTATCATTCTAGTCCCTTTGCTTTTACTTTTAAATAAGTATGTTAGATGTTCATTAGTTCTGAGTATATGTAGTACCATTCCCCCCTCCCCGCCCCTCTTCCCCCCATGCACACACCCCCTTCAGTGCTGAGCAGGTAGATAACAGGAGCGTACTTCCTGCCTGCCTGCCTGCCTTCTTTCTTCCACTTGACAGCCCAGGGTACTGTTCTTGACTTGGTCTTCAGGAGTTCTCCTTGTCATGTTCAGTGACACCTTGTGCCAGGGACTGAACCCAGTCCTCCTGCATGCAGAGCAAGAGTTATGTCCATCAAGCTCTTTTGCCAACCCAAGAGTTTTATTTTATTTTATTTATTTATTTTTTTATGGAAAGGGAACTGGGTGAGAGAATATTGTCACTTTTCTTTCAAATGGGAAGGAAATAGTGGATGTTTATTTTCCTCTGTGATTTAAATGGTTTTGGTTTGCTATCTGTGTGTTTATTAACTATTACTATTTTTTAATAATATTTAATTATAAATATAAATGTTTCTCTCTGGTCTTTGGGACACACCCAGAAGTGCTCAGGTCTTACTCCTGTCTCTCTACTCAAGGATTACTCCTGGTGGGGCTTGGAGGACCATATATGGTGCTGGGGATGAAGCCAGCTTGGCCTTGTGACAGCAGTGGAGAGAGCACTGCTGGCTGTGCTCTCTCCAGCCCCCAAACCACAACACCCACTATTCCCTTTTAAGTACCAAGCAGGCCCAACCCTGCTTAGCTTCTGAGCTCAGACGAGATTAAGGCACATTCAAGGTGCTTTGGCCTTTCTTGTTTTTTGTTGTTTTAAAAAAGCCTTTACAAATACTATTTCTGTTTGCTAAGGAAGTTTCAGTAATGGTTAAAATATGCTTTCTTAGGTCTTCCCAATACCTTCGGTGACTATGATGAAACCCCACACATGATGGCCACACACTTAAAGGTCAGAAATCCCATTCTAATTTGTTTTTAAGAGTTGGAAATGTAGATGCAAAATAATTTAGAAGCACATTTTCCTCTAAAGAAATCCCAGTGTACATATAATAGAGTGTAGCTACTCTGAATTAAAGTGGTGGAGGTGGGAGGAGGGGCTGGCTGTCAACATCTTTCTCTGTAGTTGGTGCTGATAGTTACTGGAAAATTCCTGATGAAGTTCAAACCAATTTAATTGAAATTTGGCTCTCCTTTGTAGCCATCCTCTCATCCTCTGCTGGATGGAGCAGATACTCCCCTTGGTCCTCTGTCCTTTCCTCTTCCTCTCCCATTCACCTCTGTGCATCCTCACCATGGAACCTTCACATCCATAATCCCTTCTTTTTTTTTTTTTTCTTTTTGGGTTACACCCAGCGATGCACAGGGGTTATTCCTGGCTCATGCACTCAGGAATTGCTCCTGGCGGTGCTCCGGGGACCATATGGGATGCTGAGAATCGAACCCGGGTCGACTGCGTGCAAGGCAAACACCCTACCCGCTGTGCTATTGCTCCAGCCCCCATAATCCCTTCTTATTACTAACCATTTCCTTGTTCCATAAACTTTCAGCCTCAAGCTCATTGACGTGCTCTCCTAAACGATTGCTAAATCAGTTCTGCAGATGATATTTCCAGTATTATAACTTGTTATTACCTTGTTTTTCTTTCCTACTTATTGTTCTTTGCTAATTAGCCTGTTGCTGAATCCTCGACCCCCACAGTTCAAGCTACAGTCTTCATTGTAGATGGTTATTGGCGTTCTTGAAACGTGGCTCTAGAACCAAGTTTTTCATTCTTTAAACATCTGAAGTTTAAATGCTGATTCTTTATGCGTTATTTGAAACTGCATTATTCAATTTACATATATTCAGCGCTGTATATAGGTAAAGAAGAAAAAAATCCTCATTGTGATCAGATAGGCAGATAAATACCCGGTTGCATTTTAATCCGTATAATGGATTTTATAGATCTGGATTGTTCTTTGCTTTTAATCCCTGTCAAGGCACTTGAAAGCTCCATAGCTGAAGTTAAGTGTATTCACTTACTTTTTTGATGTAAAGCCATTCAGGAATCGTTGGTTGAATTTTCTGCTGAATTGGTAGTGGTGAGTTTTGAATTCAGATGAACTTCCTGAAAAGTTTTCTTTCCCTAAATGCAGAACTTTGCTATGGATGGCCTGGTCAATGTAGTTGGTGGTTGCTGTGGTACCACACCAGATCATATCAGGTAATAATTCTAAATAGTTCATCTTTACTTGGGCTGAAGTTTGGGGTTTTTTGGTGGAGGCAGGCGCATAACCAGCAATGCTTAGGGGTTATTCATGACTCTGCACTCAGGAATTATTCCTGGATGTGGTTGGGGGAATATATGGACTCTGACCCTGGGTTGATGTTTAATGCATTGTCCATGCCCAGTTCATATGTTGAAATACTTATTCCAAATTCCTCTGACTATAACTCTATTTGGAGATAGAGACTTTGAAGTGGTATTTAAGGCATAAAAAAAAAAAACAAACTCAAGAATGTGATGGTATAGTGGAGAAGGTGCTTGCCCCTGCTGGAGGTCGACCTGGCTTTGATTCCCAGCGTCCCATATGGTCCCTGAGCATGTATCTTTCTTATGAAGTGTCTGTTGTGTTTGGCAGAAACATACCAAAAAGGATTACATTATCTTCACTCCTGACATCTCTTTTTCTGTTTTACCCTTCTCTGCACGAAGCTGTTTTTATTATTTTTTCTTTTCTTTTCTTTTCTTTTTTCTTTTTGGGTCACACCCAGTGATGCACAGGGGTTACTCCTGGCTTAGAAACTTTCATGTTTGTAAGTGATTCTAAGGCCACTTAGAATCACTCCTGGCTGTGCTCCGGGGACCATATGGGATGCCAGGGATCGAACCCAGGTTGGCCGCGTGCAAGGCAAATGCCCTTCCCACTGTGCTCCAGCCCCGGAAGCCATTTTTATTTTATGCTGCAAGGATGAAAGTCATACTTTAGAGAGTTGTTGGAGGAAAGAGTGTAAGTTAGAGATGTGGAGGAGGAAATTTGCTGCTGACATTTGCACAAACCGTGGCATCTCTGTGAGGTTTCACCTTCCTGGTCGCGGACTCTGGTGCAATGCACAGCAGACGGGGCGGCAGATACAGAAAATGTTTATAGATTCGGTTCTGCATTACTGAGAAAACTAAAAGGCATAATTGCTGCTGCACATTTGGCACTAGGAGCATAATTATGTTAAATAAAACTTAATAGGCTTAATTAAATTAGTTTCATTTTGAATGAATAGATAACAGTGTTTCCCCTTTTAATCCAGGGAAATTGCCGAAGCTGTGAAAAGCCACAAGCCTAGAGTCCCACCGACCACTGTGTTTGAAGGACACCTATTACTGTCCGGTAAGTCACACCTCTCTCCCTGAAAAAGAAAGTTTTATCTGTGAGGGGAAAATTGAAAAAATTGAAAAAACAAAACCAAAATGACTTTTACCAGAGAGAGGGGTGATAGAATAGTTTATTTCATCACTAGCATTTTTATTTATGGTAAAAAAGTTTTATTTAGGAAATAGGAGAGAGACAGAGTCCCTTTAAGTATTTAGAGAAAAGTCACACCTTCATCCTTAGATTTTTCTTGGTAGGTGGGAGGGGAGGGTCTTGGACTATACCTGGATATACTCGGAGATTGCTCCTGGCAGTGCTGTAGTTACCATGTAGAGTGCTGTGGGCATCAAAGCAGGGTTGAACGCATGGAAGGCCAGTACCTTAACCCCCTGTGCTCTCTCCAGCCCCTTATCTTTAAATCTTAAAACTTTTCATTAACTTCCAACAGGAACTAATAATTAAGTTTAGCAATCTTTGTCAAAATTGAAATAAGAAGAGAGCCATTTAGATACAATTTTTGGAATGAATTTATATACACACACGTATATGTGTGTGTATGTGTGTATGTTTGTTTATATATACATACATAATATATATCTTTAAAGTTTTGTTATGTTCACTGGTTCAGTTTCTTTTCTTTTTTTTTTTGCTTTGCTTTTTGGGTCACAGCCAGTGTTACTCAGGGTTTACTCTTGGTTCTGCATTTAGGCATTACTCCTGGATTTGCTAGGGGGGGTGTTATATGGGATGCCAGGGATCAAACCCAGGTCAGCCATGTGCAAGGCAAATGCCCTACCAGGTATACTATTGCTCTTTCCCTTCATTCTTAATTTAATACTTGTTTTTGCTTGGTTTTGGGGCTACTTCTGGTTCATTTCTGGAATTCCTCTTTTGGAGCCAGGGGACTGTGCAGTGCTGGGATCGAACTCTAGGCTCTTAGATGCAGAGCATCCATCAAAGAAGTCATTTTTCTGATTTTTAATTTCATGTGCTATTTCTGAATTGCTTTTATCTATTTAGTTGTTTGGCCATGCCTGGCGGTGCTCAGTTCTTATTCCTGGCTCTGTGCTTATTCCTGTTTGGGCAGATGGGATGCCAGGGATTGAATCTGGGTTCACTATGTGTAAGGGAAGCATCCCACCCACCGTACTATCTCTCCCATACCCTTTAAATTGCTTTTAAAGATCTCCTTCAGAGTTAAAAAAGAGTGATATCAAACACTCATTAAATTCTCATTAAGTTCTTTGTAAGTTCAGACTTGACAGATGTATATTTTCTGTATCAGATGCTTCACATTTGTACGAGATCGAAAGCACTTAGTGTGGAATTCTGCGGGACTTTAACATAGGATCTCTCCAGTGTTGAAAAGTTGGCATTCTTGCTGACCTGCCATGCTCATCATGGAGTCTGACTCAGGGTTATGGATACCCAGAGACTGGCATGGAAGGGCAAAGCCAGGAAATTTGTTTCCAGTGGGAAGGGCAATCAAAACTAAACTGGAAGTAATAGTGTTCTCAATGAACTATGAAAACAGCCTGGGATAGTTTTTAAATTACCTATATTATATTATTATTTCCTTCTCTTTCACATAGTTCTCTTTTTCTTTGCCCCTCACATGTTCTCATAAACATCTATTATAGGTCGAAAAAATGTATCCATATTATAGATAAGTATCTGTTCATACTTGTATAGTACCACTTTTAACTGAGATAAAGTCAATGGTGTCTTATAACAATTAAACAATATTCAATTTGCTGAGTAACAATAACAAACCTACCGCAGAAGCCTCAAGTCACATAGTTCTTAGGGCGTTTGCCTTGCACGCAGCCAACATGGCCGACCCGAGTTCGATTCCTCCGCCCCTCTCGGAGAGCCCGGCAAGCTACCGAGAGGATCTCGCCCACACGGCAGAGCCTGGCAAGCTACCAAGAGTATCTCGCACGGCAAAGCCTGGCAAACTACCCGTGACGTATTCGATATGCCAAACACAGTAACAACAAGTCTCACGATGGAGATGTTACTGGGCCCGCTCGAGAAGATCGATGAACAACGGGAGGACAGTGACAGGACAGTGACTTTGACTAAGGGCTAATTCATTTATCTTTTTCTTTTTTTGGGGGGGGGGGTTTATTTTGTTTTGGAACACATCTGGTGATGCTTAGGGCTTACTCCTGGCTTAGGGTTCATTCCTCGCCATGTCCAGGGGACCATATGTGGTGCTGGGGATCAAACTGGGTTGGTCACATTCAAGGCAAGTGCCCTATCCACTGTATAGTCACTTTGGCCTATCATTTATCCACTATCTACCTATCTTCTATCTTCTATCTATCTATCTATCTATCTATCTATCTATCTATCTATCATCTATCTATCATCTAATCTACATTTTGTGTATGGTCCCTCAAGCATTGCCGCGAGTGTTCCTCAGCACAAAGCCAGGGGTAAAAGCCTCTGATCTCTCCTCTTCGGAGGTCAGAGGAGCCACGTAAGTGGTGCCAGAGATTAAACCTGGGTGAGCTGCATCAGGGCAGGTGCCTTTTACCCTGCACTATCTCTATGGCCCAAAATGTATTTTTTTGGTTTTTGTTTAGGGGAGTTGGACCATAGCTGGCAGTGTTCAGGACTTACTCCTGACTCTGTGCTCAGGGACACTCCTGGCAGTGCTTTGGAGACCATGTACAGTGCATGGGATTGAAATGGAGCTGGCCGTATGCAAGGCAAGCACCTTAACTTCGTTATGGTCAGTTTAGCCTAATATGATATCATTAGTTTTGAATTTGGGGGCCACACCTTGTGGGGCTCAGGAGCTACTCCTGATGGTGCTTCTCAATTTTTTTTTTTTTTTTGGTTTTTTGGGTCACACCCGGCAATGCACAGGGTTTCCTCCTCGCTCTGCACTCAGGAATTACCCATGGCGGTGCTCAGGGCACCATATGGGATGCTGGGAATCGAACCTGGGTTGGCAAACCTGTAAGGCAAATGCCCTACCTGCTGTGCTATTGCTCCAGCACCACCCCCCTTTTTTAAATATGTGTTGTACCTGGCTGTGGGATGCAGGATGCAGTGATGGAGATCCTTGCATATACTGGACATGTGCTCTGCTCCTTAAGCTTAAGCCTGGGCCCCTTGGAAACTATTTCTTTTATTGATGACAATAGCTGTCTGGCTGGTGCTAATTTTATTCTCCTCAATGGCTTTTGGTCATATCTTAGCAAAAGCATTACAAGGCAGTTACTTTTACTTCCCTCTGTTTTATTACTAGCTCAGAGGGTATGAGATACACTTAGTCACCCTTGTTGTGTACTGCAATAGTTGGGCAGGGTTTTGAACTTAAGGCTTTCCCCAGAACTTGCCTAGAACACCCTAACAAATCTCTCTGTCAGTATTTTAAATGTGCTTAGCAGAACAAAAGCTGTTTACGAAGGCCTTTTCTGTGGTGATACTTTACATTCTGTTGTCGTTGGTTTAGTTAATGTATGTGCAATTGTTGTCTGATATTTGCCCTTAAATTGGCGCTTAACAGGGGAGGTGTAATTTCTTCTGGATAAAGGAGTGGTAAAAAATAAATAAATAAATAACCAAGCCCCCATACCTTGTGAGTGACAGTAGTTGACCTGCCATAGAAACTCCTGCTCCCAGGGTTCTGTCTTGGTTCTTTGTTGTTACCTCATTTGGTCCTGGGCATGCATTGTGTCTGAGAGGCTCAGATTCCATCCTGGCACCACTGGGAGTGACCCTCCAAGCACTGAGGGGGTAAGTAGTCCCTGACACTGTCGGGTGTGGCCCAGACACCAACGCCTGACTCCATGCTGTTGCTGTCTGAGAGGTGTGGAGCACTCCTTCTTTGTTTAAGGTCATGGTTTTTGCCCTAAACTCTTGGCTATGCAAGGATATAATTAAAAATGACCATTTTTCCTTGTTTCACACAGGGCTGATATGATTCAGTTCTTATGAGAAATCTGAAACCCTGAAATATTTCTCTGGGTTTGTTATCCTAAAATTGTTTTCTGCCTGCCAAGTCTGAGTGTATACATTTTCAAAAATTCTTCCCTTTTTTTTTTTCAAGGTCTGGAGCCCTTCACAATTGGACCCTATACCAACTTTGTTAACATTGGGGAGCGCTGTAATGTAGCAGGATCCAGGAAGTTCGCTAAACTCATCATGGCAGGAAACTATGAAGTGAGCATCTTAATAAGACCCTTCAGGCATCTGCCGTGCTTTTGGCTAGACAGTATGTAAATGAAATAGCTCTGCCTTTGCTTGTGTAATTAGCAGAACTGCTGCAAGTGTGAGAATGGTAAAGTACGTTTGTAACTGGCTGAGCTGGTGGGAGGATGAGCCTTCAAAAGACCAAAGCTGCTATTTTCATTCTTTGTCAAAAGGTACTGCATTTGGGGTATGAAGTGGGATGAGATGGGAAGGATTTGGGTTCGAGCTCTGTATTGTGCACTTATGTTTAAAAATGTTGAGACTCTTCTTCATTTTGCAGTTTAATGTGGATTTTTTTTTTTGTTTTGATTTTGTTTTTGGGTCACTCCTGGCGATGCTCAGGGGTTACTCCTGCACTCAGTAATCACTCCTGGTGGTGCTCAGGGGACCATATGGGATGCTGGGATTCGAACCCGGGTCCGCCTGGTTCAAGGCAAACGCCCTACCCACTGTGCTATCGCTCCAGCCACTAATGTGGATTTAAATGATTGATTTTCCCATGAAACGTATTTTAAGATTTGTATCACCTTTAGGTTACTAATTAAGTATATTCCAGAAACCAGTGTAAAAATCAGACTTAATTTTGGTCATAAAAGAAGGGCCCATTTATCATTCTTTATTGAAATTACTGTAATAAATTTTTAGAATTGACTACTCCCTTTTTGGCATTCTTTATCATCTTTATCATTCCCCTGGGCATGAATGTGGGCTTGGTTTCTGATTAGTTCCCGAGATTCCCTTTAGTCCTTGTTCTTTTATTCCTGCCTGTGCTCACTGTTGGCATGTGCTTCTCTGTGATCCTCCTCAGGTCATGAGCTTTTGCGATTTTTTTCATGTATAAGATAAAATCCAAACTTCTGGGGCTGGAGCCATAGTAGAGCGGGTAGGGTGTTTGCCTTGCACACGACCAACCTGGGTGTGATCCCGGCATCTCATATGGTCCCTTATTGCATCTCATATGGTCCCACTTCCAGGACTAATTCCTGAGTGTAGAGCCAGGAGTAACCCCTGAGCTTTGCAGGTATGGCCCCCAAACAAAAAAAATCCAAATCCCATGGGCCCCAAAGTGCCTTCCCATCCTTGTTATTAGAACATTCCTGCAGACTGACTTCTGCTATTTTGCTGTTGTTCATGTCGGTTTCCTTCTTCATAACCCTTTAGAAGTTATTCCTCAATATGGTATTTCTTCCTATGTTATGATGTCCTTTGCCTCTCTCAGATGGATAGATTTGATATACTGAGAGCAGAGTGCTTTCAGGGAAGAAGCAAACTGATACATGTACTATAGGAAGATATCATTAGGTCAGTCAGTATTCTAAGTGCTTCACTTAGCCTTTGTAGATCTTGAGCTAGGTACTGTTACTATTCCTATATTACACCTGTGCAGTTGAAGGCTCAGAGACAGGTTAACTGCTCCTCTGTTTTTTTTTTTTATAGTCAGGAAACCAAAGCCCTCAATCATTCAAGCCCATGTCTTTAACCAATTTGCTATCTCTGCTTAGAGAGCAGATAGGAAGGACAAAGAGGCAGCAGAAACAAGAATAGAGACCAGAGTCATAGTCAATGGGTCTGGTGCGTGCTTGGCATGTAGGAAGCCAGGTTTCAATCTGTATGTCCATCTCAGGAACTCCCCAGGGGTCACCTTCTTCTAATACTTCTTTCTCTTACATTCTTTCCTCAGGAAGCTCTGAGTGTTGCCAAAGTGCAGGTGGAAATGGGCGCCCAAGTGTTGGATATCAATATGGATGACGGCATGTTAGATGGGCCGAGTGCCATGACCAGATTTTGTAACTTCATTTCTTCAGAGCCTGATATTGCCAAGGTTGGACAAGACTTCTGTTCATCAAGACTGTTTACATGTCTGGTAGTCACTTCACTTTCTCGGTTGTCCCATTGGTGTTTGTTCTCATACGCTGTTTGCTGTTTTCCTGTGTTGAAGTCACTAGAGTTTCTGACAGTTTTCACATTTAATGGAAACGTCCACATAAATCAAACTTGAGAAGAGTGGAGCAGGTTCAGCTTGGTTGTTTCCAAGACTCCTGGAGTTGGTCATAAGAACTGACTTGAATTTTCTCTGGTGTCGAGACATATTAAGAACTTACATGAAGGATATACTTACCTGCTCCTATGTTAGCATGAAGGAGGATTTTCCAGCACTGGTGGTTCTTGAGAATTGTCTGAAAGATTTGTATACAAGACTCAGAGAATTGAAAATTGGTTTATTTTACAGAAAAAGTTGATGGGTTTGGGCCCAGATGTCCAGGCCTCTCCTTTACCCGTGAACAATGTCATCAGTTCTGTTCCATGCCATCTACTCACCTCCTGTGAATGATGGCCACATCCTAACCCTGTGCCACTCTCTATCCTGTGTACGCTCTCTCTATTCCGTGTATATTCTCTATTTCGTGTAAGTACTCCCTGTCCCACATATACTCTTTCTACCTCGTGTACATTCTCTATCCCATGTATACTCGCTCTATCCTCCGTATACTCTCTGTCCTGTGTATGCTCTCTATCCCATGTACACTCTCTCTATCCCATGTATGCTGTCTATCTGTGTATGCACTCTCTAGCCCATGTACACATTCTCTATCCCATGTACACTTTCTCTATCCAGTATATGCTCTCTCCCATGTACATACTCTATCCTATGTATGCTCTCTCTATCCTGTGTATGCTCTCTCTATCCCATGTATGCTTTCTGTATCCATTGTACACACTCTATCCTGTGTTCACTCTATCCTGTGTATGTTCTCTCTAGCTTGTGCATATGCTCTCTATCCCGTGCACACTCTTTCTATTGTGTGTGCGCCCTGTTTCCTGTGTATACTTTCCTAGGTCTCCAGCCACAGCCACGTGCATGTGGGTGTGACTCCTGTGCTCAGTATCTTCCCACTAAGCCTCCCAACATACCCCAGCAGCTCCTGTCTTCCTTTTCTGGCTTTTGTAGTCTCCAGCTATGGCCACATGCTCGCTGGTGGGACTCCTGTATTCAGTACCTTGTCACTACATAGGCATCCTAATCCTACCTGTACCTCAGCTATCCTGGGCATCCAAGCCCTGCCTGTACCTGAGTTATCCTGGGCATCTGAGCCCTGCCTAGATTCTGCCTCTGTGTGGCCCTGAATGGCCCGCCTGTGCTGGGCCCTGTGTCTCTGATCCTGGAGGTCCAGGGAGAGAGGAGAGAGTCCAGAGTGTATGTGTGTGTGTGTGTGTGTGTGTGTGTGTGTGCGCGCGCGCGCGTTTGTGTGTGTGTTGGGGGAGAAAGAAGAGAGAAAAGAGAGAAAAAGGGGGGTGGACACACGAGGCTAAACATAATCCCAGTGTTAGAGCTGGGATATCTGAATTCTGTTTGAGGTTTTTTTTGCCTCAGGGTTGAAGTATTTGCCAGAATGAACTAATACTGAAATCAGTGAACTGCCTTCCATTGTTCCATTCTGATACTCAGCTATGTGGTCTTGGATTTTTAACATTTCCGGTCCTTGTATAGGTTATCCTATATGTCTGGAATTATGCTAAATATTTTAGGCTCTAAACAAGCTCAGTGAATACCGTCTCTATCACACAACTGCTATTTGCCCATTGTTTCAGATTGAAGAAACAGAAAGGGCCAAATAGCTAAGCGCATCCTTTACAAGCCAAAGATCTGTCCGTTCCTTCCCCAAACACCCCCAAGTGTGGCTTAAAAACAAAAACAGAAAGGAGAAATGGGGGTGGGAGGACTGTTTGGGAACCTCTGAGGACCTGTTTGTGGTGCCTAATAGTTTTTCTTGGTGCTTGCTCTTCTGATCTCAGGTGCCCTTGTGCATCGACTCTTCCAATTTTGCCGTCATTGAAGCTGGGTTAAAGTGCTGCCAAGGAAAGTGCATTGTCAACAGCATTAGTCTGAAAGAAGGGGAGGACGACTTCTTGGAGAAGGCCCGGAAGATTAAGAAGTATGGAGCTGCCGTGGTGGTTATGGCTTTCGATGAAGAAGGACAGGTGAGTGAATTTCTTTTGGCTCACTTGAAGAGAACCAGTGGGAGAGAGCCAAGTCCCAGATAGCCATATCTACATACTTATCCATGCATCCTTACATCCATGCATCCATGCATACATACATGCACCAACACTTGTAGACGCATCGACATATATACAAGAGAACAATGACTCAATGAATGTTTTTGGCTATCCATTTGGGAGAAAATAAAGCTTGAAGGTGGTAAAGTGTTGCTCACGAAACCCCATGGGCAATAGTACTGTAAACCACAGGGCAAAAACATATATTAAAAAAAGAAGTGCCCTTCATAGAGGCAGACTCTTGGGTGGGAAGCAGTTGCAGGGAGGAGGGGGAAATTGGTGGAAGGAAGGGAGCACAGGAGAGAGCACTGGAGAATGGATTGGTGGTGAAACAATGTATGCCTGAAACCCAGTCATAAATAACTTTGTAATTTTACAGTGACTAAAGATAAATAAACTAAAAAATTAAAAAATATTCCAAAATATGCGATTGTAGTATAGTTGCATAACTATAAATTTACTAAAAATCGCTGAATTATATACCTATAGTGGGTAGCTTTTATGCTACATAAATAATACTTAAATACATCTTTTTTTAAAAAAAAGTTGATAAGGAAAGAAAATGAAGTTAGAGCTTCATTTCTCACCATGTGCAAACATATAGGCATCAGTGAAAGACCTCAGCATCAAAAGGAAGTTCTAGGCTTGCTCACATGCGCCCCTGCTCTGTCTTGGATGTGTGTCCTGCTGGCTTGCTCTCAAAGCCTATGCTCTCTCTTGAACAGGAACGAAGTCTCTTTCTTGCTCACTTACTTGCTCTCTCAGGCCTGTGCTTTCTCTCGAACACACGTCCCTCTCTTTCTCTTGCCTCATGTTTTTCTCAATAAATTTCATTCAATAAAAACTGTTACTTGGGGCTGGACCAGTAGTACTGCAAGTAGGCCCTTGCCTTGCTATCCCAGACACCCCAGATGATCCCCTAAGCCCTGCCAGGAGTAATCCCTGAGCAGCCATGTGGTGGTCCCCAAATACCAAAAAAAAAAAATAACAAAAAGCATAATATCATGCTTCACTAACAAACACAAAAGCAAATTCTCGGGCTGGAGAAATGACTCAGCTGATGTTTATGCTTTGTATCCAGGAGGCCTGCATTTAATTACTGGCTCTTTATGGTTTCCCTGAACACTGCCAGGAACAACCCCCAAGCACCACTGAACCAATTCCAAAACAATAAAATTCTAAAGAATTTATGAGAAAGTAGCACTGCACTGTCCTCCTGTTGTTCATCGATTTGCTCAAGCGGGCACCAGTAACGTCTCACAACAAACTGTGAGACTTGTTACTGTTTTTGGCATATCGACTATGTCATGGGTAGCTTGCCAGGCTTTGCCGTGCGGGCGAGATACTCTTGGTAGCTTGCCGGACTCTCTGAGAGGGGCAGAGGAATTGAACGCTGCAAACACCCTACCTGCTGTGCTATCGCTCCAGCCCCATGAGAAAGTATTTACTTAAATTTGGGATATGGAGAGTGTCAGAAAGCAAATAAGATTGAGTGCTTTCTATTAAAAATGTAAACTTTCATATAGCGAACCATGATACTAATTGTAATGTAAGTAAGAATAGTGGATTAATAATGCTGATATGGAAAGAGTTTCTGCAAATTGCCTCAACCAACCCACCAGAAGAATGGACAAAAGAAAGGAACAAGCAATGTATAGAAAGAGAAATATAGATAGCCCATAAATTTAAGAGGAGACACTTCATTTCTTAGTGATTAAAGAAATAAAATGCAAAGCAATGAGATATTTCTTTCTTAACTATTGAAGAAATAAGATGCAAAGCAATGAGATATTCATTTCTTTTATCAAATAGAAAAAGGATGATAAATGGTCACTCACAAAGTCTGTCATGGGATCAGAGAAGGGGTGCATGGAAGTTCTAACAACGCTCGTTTGTCTATGTAGGGAGGACCTTTATACCTCAGGGCCTTTATATGTATTTGTGTATTTATCTAATTCTTATTTTTTTTTATTTGGGGAGTCACACCCAGCTGTGTTCAGGAGTTACTCCTGGCAGGCTTGGGGTTACCATACGGGATGTCGGAAGCAAACTCAGATTGACCGTGTACAAGGCCAGCACCCAAAGAACTCTCCAAATGTCCATTATTAGTGGAATGCTATATGCTGTAACTGCATTAAAAACGTAAATGTGTGGGCTCTCTTGCCATGTGTGTGCGGGCTGCTGCCCCATCCTGGTCTGCAGCCACTGCAAACAGGGCTGCCAAGCTGGTTGGTGATCAGCTGCCATTTATTCCAATCTCCCTCCCTCCCGCCATTTATTCCATCCTCTCCACAAGCTTATTCCAATTTCACTGAGTTCCCCATTCGTTGCCCCTCATTCCCATCTCCTCCTGTCCCTCATGCTCATCTCCCAGAGCCCATTCTCACAGCCTTAGTTGAGAGCCCAACCACCAGGGGTTGGGAGTAGCAACTACTCTAGAGTCAGCACAATCAACATTTTCCTTCTAAAACAAAGATCTACTGCTAGGAGATTCCTCAAGGGTAGAATTTCATCAAAGGACATACTTCTCTTTTCCTTAGTCCATAAACACTCATTTTAGATTTACTTCTTAATTAATCCTTCTAGTCATTTTATATGGACACAGTTAAGAGATACATTAAGCTTATAGGGTGGCTCTCCTGGGGTCATCTAGCTATAGATGCCAGACTATAGTCCCCAGGCCAGATTAGTCCTTCCTGATGCCTTCAGGGTCCTTGTCCAGTCACTTCTCTTTGGGTCATGACAGAATTTGTCCACGGCCATTCTCTTATTATAAGTCTTATGGCACTTGTCCTGTCCTGTTTCAATGCCACGGTAGCTTACAGATTGCCCTGGGTCCACCCAGTCCCTTCATTGGGACCCTGCTTTTGTGGTGCTAGAAACTAAGGGCAACTGAGGCTTAAGTTGAGTAAATATGACAGATGCCCAGGAGTAAATATTATTTGGAGTCAGTTAACTCCCAAGTTACACGAGCATAGCATTAACAGTCTTCTTGTGTCTATACAGAAAGGACATTGTTCTAAAGTAAACTATGCAAAGGACATAAGGGAAAGAGAAAAGCAGCATTTCACTTACAAGAACAAAATCCAAAGTCCTTGGAAGGATCTGACCTTCTAAGTCACAGGGTGTGATTTGGGGATATAGGTGATTAACAGATAGGGAAATAAGTTAAAGATGAATTCGGAGGAAATTGGGAGTGCTTTGGGAGCACTGTGATGGGTGTAACCCAATAAACCTAAGCTGCCTGCAGAAAGTAAGAAAGGACAAAACAATGTTATCCTACAGTAATGAATACTATATATTGCAGTTTAGAAGAATTAATAATGGAACCATGACTAAAACATTTTGAAAAATAGAAAACTTATATGACATTCCTTCATTTTAATTTAAAAGGGTTTATGTATATGTAAATATAAATATCTGTAAATATAAAAGCAGGGGAAAATTTTGGTGGTTGTTTAACTAGAATTTGGGAATGGTGAACACATATTGATTTATTTGTATAATTGACAAATTGTGGAATTATATGTACTTTTTCTTTTCTCTTTTATTTATGTTTGGGTTTTTGAGCCACACTTGGCAGTGTTCAGGACTTAGTCCTGGCTCTATACTCAAGGATCACTCCTAGCCACTTGGGGGGGCATGTGAGGTGCTGGGGATTGAAGCAAGGTCAGCCACATGCAAGGCAAACACACCCTACCCACTCTACTATTGCTCTGGTCCCACTGTTTCTTGTATTTTTATTTATTTATTCATTTATTACTCTGAGCCACACCCAGTGATGCTCAGTCCTAACTCCTTGCTCTGTACTTCTGGCAGTGCTCAGGAGGCCATATGCAATGTTGGGGATTGAACCTGGGTTGGCAGTGTGCAAGGCAAACACTCTACCTGCTGTATTATCTCTTTGGCACCTATTTCTTTTCACGTGATGATCACTTGACTTCCCGTTAATCGTCGATTTGCTCAAGCGGGCGCCAGTAACGTCTCCATTTGTCCCTGTCACGTGCTAGTGTAGCCCAATGGCGTCTGTTTGCTCTAGGAACACAAAGAGCCTCAAACCGATCGTTCATGATCTTGATGAGGAAGTCTGACCATCTGGTAGGTGGGCAGCCACGCGGTCATTTGACATCCCGTGGAATCCAGTCGGTAACAGCTCTAGTCCAGCAGTCGTCTTTAAATCTCATTACGTGACCAGCCCATCTGATTTTTGACACGTTGGCAAACGACACAGCATCCCTGATTCTTGATCGTCGACGGAGGTCGGAACTCCAGATTCTTTCTCTCATTTGAGTGAAACGTGATATTCCAAGCATAGCTCTTTCAATTCCTCTTTGGGAGACCTGAATAGTGTTCTCATCCTGTTTGCATAGGGCCCAGGTCTCTGAGGCATATGTTAATGCAGGAAGAACAGTGGAATCAAAGAGATGTGCCCGGAGCTGGAGGTTCTTCGTCCTCTTAGCTATTTCTTCGACGCTCTTGAAGACGTTCCAAGCCGCTCTCTTCCTCCTGCGCAGCTCGGGTGCCAGGTCATTTGTCATGTTGACTTCTCGACCTAGGTACACATAGCTGTTGCATTCAGAGATGGTCGTTCCATTGAGAGCGAATGGGGCGTCAGGAACGAGGCTGATTCTCATAAACATTGCCTTCGTAAGATTCAGCTGTAAGACACTAAATACCCATCTTCCGGAATTACCGTACCATATTTGATAGGGTTCAAATATGGCAACACCTACAGGGGCGGTTAGAGGTCGCCCCAAAAACCTCTATCCCTCTTGGAAAGCCTGGCAAGCTACCGAGAGTATTCCGCCCGCACGACAGAGCCTCGCAAGCTATTTGTTGTGTATTTGATATGCCAAAGCCAGTAATTACAATGGGTCTCATTCACCTGACCCTGAAGGCTTCACCAATACGGCAGCATTGAG